TGCAGCACCCAGAGGCCCGCCTGCAAGGAGGGGCCCCTGGAGGGGACAGGGAACAGAGCCAAGATGGAGAGAGAGAGAGAGAGAGAGTGAGAGCGGGGAGAGGAGAAATGAGAAGCAGCAGGGAGAGAAGGGGAGGGGGAGATGGATAACTGGAAGGGGCAGAGAGAAGGGAGAAATGAGAAAGGAAAACGATCAGATGAGGAATCGAAAAAAGGTACGGTAATACGAGAAAAAAGAATGTAACAGGAGGGGAGAGGGAAAAGGAGACTGAACATAAGAGACAGAAATTAAGAAGGCAAAAGGAAAGGTAAAGATCCCCTACAAAATGTCACTGAAGAGAAATAAATACATACAAGCTGCTGTACCATTACTTCTCCTGTGAGGTCTTCTTCTGTGGTATTGTTGCCGTCAAAATGGATGAGAAGAAACTAATTGAGGTGGAAAAAGAACCTGATTACTGCAGGAACAGTCCAAACATTATAAAGATTGTAATCTAAAAACATAATCTAGTCTTGAGAGACAGCTGCGGAATACCCTGTACAAACCACAAGAATCAGATGGCATGCAGGATGAGTGCATTTTTGTGAATTGTTTAGGTCTTGTTTAGGATTTTCTGTCTTCAGATAGCTCTACCTCATTTACTCAGTAATCAATGACAGAAAATGTACAGCTTCTTAAATTTGAGTATGACAGTTTTTTGCTGCACAGTATCATCATATGCTCAATATCTTTGGGCTTGCAAAACATGGCTATCCAAGAGTCAATCTGAGCTCTTAGAAACTTTGCTGGACATTTTTTATTGACATTTTATAGACCAAAAGATTAGTCAACAAATAATTGGACAGCTGAGAAGGGAGGGGATGAAACAGTAATACAAAAAAACAAACCACTGTCCTTTTAATATTCTCCTCCCTCCCCAGCACAGATCTCAATCTCGCTCATTACTGCATTTATTTGTAGAGCTCAGGAGCTGTCGGAGTTGACTGCTCCTCCAATCAGGCCGTTGAGTCATTTATTTAGTCTGCCGCCATTCTTCCAGAGCAGGAAGTGGAGACGCATTAAGGCTTGATTATTGATGTCTGGCCCCTCATGCTGCAGTCCCTCCAGGGATTGAGAAAGGGGAAATGAAAGGGATGGATTATTAATGCAGGTAATAGAGCTGTGCATCTTCACTGGGCTTAAGATTTGATTCGATTACGATTATCCAGTCAACGATTTGATAACACGATGCATCACGATTCTTCAATTTTCTATATTACTGCACATGGCTACTTTTTCATAAACAGAGTCAAACAGTCTTATAAATATCATTTCCTGATATGAATGTTTCACATTAAAAGCACTTCAACTTCAGATAGGCCGGGGACTTTAATTTTGAAGAACTTGTCGGAAATAGATGTGTTTATTATCGAACGATCGCAGCTTTAGCGGAGGGGCACTTAACTGTGATACTGTCGGGAGTCTGCTGTGTTTACAGCCGCTCACTTTATCACTAGTCACCGCCACAGCTCCCTTCTTTTAGTTATCCTGGACTTAAGACAGCGAGGCATCAGTTTAAACACTAATAGAAAAAAGCATCTGCTAACCGCTAAATGCGGTTGTTTTGCGCAGCGTTGAGTGAGTTTGTTTTACCTAAACACACACAGTGGTGTGTAATGAAAGTAACGTAGGCTAACAGAGGGATTTGTGACAGAAAACACTGTTAATTGAGCTCCTGTGCTTGCTGACTTTATGAGCAGACTCAGCTGGTCCTGCACGCTCAGACCACAGTGTTCAGCTGCAGGCTGAAACGGCTTGACTCTGTGTCTCTTTAGCCGACCGCAGCACGGATTAGCATCTTCATTACAGCTAAATAATCTGCCTTGACATACTCCACTGCAATCACTTAAATGTCATATATTGGTCATTTTACAGTTCTGGACAGCTTGCACAGGACTAATGTTTCTTTGACAAGCAGCTTTTTATTCAGGTGTGATTTTGTTGAAAATGATTTCTCTTTGAATTGATGAATTGTAGGGTTAGGGTGTTGAAAGTCTACTAATATGGACAAAATACCCTTCCTTGTTACTTGTGTATAAAATGTTTTATTTGCACCAGCGTTCAGAACCCACATACATTCAATGGAATGATGTGCATTGTAGAAAATGTGCAATTATCCAATGGAAGAAGATGGAACCAAAATGTTTTAGCTTGATAGATTGCACCGATACTCTTTTATCACAATGGACTGATATATCTGTCAATTAAGAAACTGATTGACTTATTGTGCCTGGAAAAGTCAATGCCCTTCTCTGTATGAAAACTAAACTAAGCCTGGTAAGAAGGAATCTTTCATGATTTGAAGAACACAAATCTAGTAAGTGGAACTAGATTACATTTTTGGGCAAAAACTAAAAATTTGTATTATCTGTATTGATAAATGTTTTAGGAATTAAACCTCTAACCTGGTTTCTATTAGTTGCTTGCACTGCATTAGTCTTGCCATGGGCACTAGTCATAAAAGAGACCAATCCTGGTAATAACAAAAGAAATCCCAGTGCGGTTCCTGTGTGAATCTGTTCATACAGACTACTGCAGTCATGGCAGAGTAAAATCATTTTACAGAACTGTTTTTATAGCCGACTACCTCTCCAGCCAAATGAAAAGTTATTATACCCAGAAGCACAGAGCTTCTATAAAAGCCTCTAAAGAGCTCTCTTTCTTCTACAAGTCTTAACCTACTGCTTGGGTTTCTATCCCACCAAATCTCCCAGCATCCCTGGAGCGGTGTGACCTCAAATTCCTTCCCCTGGGGGGGCAGCTATGGCTCAGTGGTTCCCTATAAGGGCAGTTTATTCCATACAGGTGGGACTGCTAACAATACCTCCTTTCATTCCCGTCATGCTAAATGTTCCTCCTCCAAGACTCTGATGTCACGTCAGGCTAGCCAGAGCAGCTACGCTACATTAACTGCTGAGGAGGTGAGCAGAGGAGGAGGGAGATGAGATGCCAAAGGACTGAGTGGTGTGTACAAAAAGTACACAAGTTTGAATCCCACAGAAGCCTGTAAACATCCGATGATACTGTAAAAGTTGAACTGGCCTGAAGGAAAGTTCTTTGATGGAAACATACCATGATGCCATACCTTTATATAAACTAGTAGTGAAAGGACTTGCCTAATAAGTGGACTTCAGCACTCCTCAAGAAACCCGGCTTTTGATAGATCCGACATGAGTCTGTAAAAACAGGACGCTGGTATCTCCATCAGAAATAATCTCTGCATTGTTATGTTAAGAGAAGGGAGTTTGTTGTTTGAATGTGAAGCAGACCAAAGGATCAGAGACAAGTTCAAACATGAGCACAAGGAGTAGGGATGAGGAGGAGTGAAAGTTACCTGACACCTTGAGTGTTTGGAGAATGTTTTTTAACCCTTCTGTATTTCATATCTTGACTAGACGTTTTATTTCTCCGAGTTCAGCCTCTTTGTGGCTCAACCTTTCTTGTGTTTTTAAGTGTTTGAGCTACAAGGGGTGATAACACAGTCTCCACTTACGTCAGCTGTGTGTGTGTGTGTGTGTGTGTGTGTGTGTGTGTGTGTGTGTGTGTGTGTGTGTGTGTGTGTGTGTGTGTGTGTGTGTGTGTGTGTGTGTGTGTGTGTGTGTGTGTGTGTGTGTGTGTGTGTGTGTGTGTGTGTGTGTGTGTGTGTGTGTGTGTGTGGTCATACCTTGTGTTTTTAAAGGGATGGATGTGTTGGGTGATTTATAAAAGCGTGTGTGTGTTATGGTGGGAGTCAGCTTCCTGTCTTGGGGGCTCACAACAGACAGTCCTTCCTGAACCTGCCTGGTCTTGCCGTCCCTCCCTCCCTCAGACTCAATGTGTCTTTATGCATGTGTTATCTGCTACTTCCATTGTTGTTGTTGTCGGTCTGTAAATGGAGCGAAGAGCCACAAACAAACTTCAGGATTGTTGTGGCAGTGAGGTGAAGATATTTCCACTTTGAGTTATCGACAAACTGACGCCGACACACAGACCAGCGACACCACACACTCAAACTTACTCCCCTCTGTTTCTCATGAATGTTCCGGACCTGTACTGTGCACCTACGATTGAAAAAGCTCATACAGCTAGATGAAAGGTAGAAATATGTTTAAATAAACATTGATGCTGTTCTGTGTTGGCACCATGACAGCTAATGGAAGGAAACAGGGCTGAAAAAGTGCAAGCACAAACACTTTAATGTTAAATAGAGTTTGATCAGTGCCCAATACTGCCCTAAGGGGGAGAAGTATTACACACATGCACACATTTACTTACACTCACCCAGTGTGTGTAGTTAGTTATGTGTCTTTGTTCTGTGCCTCCTCAGCCAGAGATGTGTGAAAAGTGGGTCACAGGTCGGACCTCTTTGTCCCCCCCGGCCAAATGAAAAGTGACAGACATCGGCCTTGGATCGCCACTAATTCACTCACACACACACACACTAACCCACAAACACACACAAAACCCTCCATCCCTTTCAGCGCCCACTAATTGCGACATGCCGTTGCTAGCGCTGTGCGGGGCCAGCGCCTGTAATTGCAGAACATCCCTGGACAAATAATTTGGTAGTTAGTCGGACCGTCTGAGGCCAGCACCGGGCCAGCAGGGGCCACCGGGTCAGAGAGCCCTGAAGATGAGGGAGAGCAAGTGCCAAACAAACCAGAATAAGACAAAATGTCTGTGGTCCAAAGTTTTACAACCAACTTGTTTGAACTCAGTAGCTCCATAAACGTTGATAAATTGACAACAATTTAAATCTGTTTGTGGGTTTTTTGCATCATTGAACACAGAACAAAACAGGAGCAGCCATGAGGAAAACTTAACTGAGTTTAAAATTACTATTCACAACAGCTGTTCCTTTCTGTCTCAAGCAGCACGGTGTATGATGTTTCACTTAAACACTTCCGACTCCTGTATGAACACGCACTGATTTCTGTTCATTACTCAGTTTGAATATGTGTATCGTTCTTTCTTTCTTTTAGGGTTTTGGAGGCCAAAGAGCTTGTGAGACAGAAGAGGACCTGATACTGTGATACCACCCCCAACACCTGAAGACCCATCCATTGGTTTCCACGTACCAACGCTCCTGCTCCTACACCGGCTCAACATATATGTTACTCTGAGGCCTCGTCTGCCTGCCTCAACCCACCCTCCCTACCTCCCAGGGTCCTGCTGTGGATTATAGACTTTTTTTTATCAGGACCGGAGGGTCTCCAACACACTAACCAGTTGATCAAGAAGCTCCTTATCCCTGAGCACAGCCCTACCTGGGACCACTTCAGGTCCAGTCTGAGTTCAGTCCTGCTGCAGGATGGCAGGTTTAACATTTTGTTTGGCTGTGATGGCCAGTGCTCTTCTGTTGACCCTCAGAGCTGATGGTAAGACTATCAAAATCCATTCATCTGCTCTTTCTCTGCCTGAGCTTTTAACACCTACAGTTTCCTGTTCAAACTTCTTCTGGTCTTCTGATCTTTGTCACAGAATAAATAATTGAAATACTCTTAACCAGGTTAAAAGGAGGCATTAGACATCCTTTCCTGACCAAGAGGGCAGGGTCATCTGATATGCAACTTTGGGTCAAAAGAGCTTATCAATGGAATTATTTATTTGGAGTTCAGTGGATCAATCAAGTTGAATAAGAATTACTAAATATAAGGCTTATCTTATGGCATTACTTTTCTAGATTGTCCCTCAAGGCCACATGTAATTATAACTTATTAATAACCCATTAAGTTTGACTGATTATAAACAACTTTTAGATTAATTATTTTAAATTTTATTTTTAAAGATCCATGTGAAATGGTCAGACAGAACTGCCAAATCAGCAGCCTGTGATTCTTTAATTCATATCCAGAGATCCAGAAACAAACCTGAGTGTGCATCATATCTCAGAAAGAGTCATAGATGATGCAAACACTCCGAGAAAATCAGTGCATATGTGTGATGCAGTATGAGAGAGTGAATATGTGGCGGACAAACAATCTATACTATTGTGAGAGATATGTTTTAATGGAAATACTAAATTAAAACTAAGACCTGAGAATTACAGTGAATATTTTTTAAGATTCATGTAAAAAAATATCTATATCTTATCTTTTGTGACGTTTCGTCCTGGACTTTTGCTATTTTTTAACAAGGGTCTTTTTTTGCCGCTTTCTGCCCCTTTCATACACAACACCGCCGTAACAAAGCTCCACTGTCATTACACCTTAAGAAATCCATATTGATTCCTCCACAGTGTAATATTAGTGTCCCAATCAGAGAATTCACATTGCATTACGGCATTGCAGAAGCACAAGAGAGCATGGCACAGGTTGAACTCCACATACACACTCAGTCTGACATGCAAATACACACACTGTGCTCCACCCCGACTGGCTCAGCCCCCTGCTGGCTCTGCCAATCCCGGCTGCCCCTGTACCGGCTATGTTATTACCTCCAAAGGAGGTACAGCGGGGGATTACTTGTCCCCCTGTGAAGATACCCCAACATTCATATTGAAGGCGAAACATCATATGGACGTAAATATTACGCAGTATGAATTTAAAGGTCTATATAGTCTTTGGTTTGGATGGCGTGAGATTAGAAGAATTTTGAGACTGAGATTAACATAAAATGCCCCCCCCCCCATTCCCATGTGCTCTGCACCACCTCCCTCCAAACTCAGATGAGTATCAGCAGCCTTTTGTTAGAGGCCTGATTAAGTGTCAATTAGCCGATAATGAGAGACTTCATAAATAAACACAGAAACAAAGGAGAGCCCCTCCCTGCTAAATACCAGGCAAACAGATCAATTTCTTTCTTTCTGTTTTACATTCAAATACATACAGTAATATGTGACAGGTGCACTTTGGGTATAAGCTGCTGGTTTTGCTTCGCGTAAGAAAGTATTAACTTAAAAAATAAATTAAGTTTACGATAAACCAGCATTTGTGTTGGGTGTTGTTCTCCTTTATCTTTGTGGTGTTTCTGTTGAACAGATTAAAAAAAATCTTAGTCCACTGATGATGTTTGTCCAAAGGATTTTATACAACTTTCTTTCAGACTCAAAATATAAATACAAAATCCCTACAAACTTAGAAACTGTAATCTCCACAGAAACTAGTCATTCCCTTGATAATTTGTTAAATCTTTACCCTCATCACAGTACAGCTTTAATTTATTTATAATATATAATTATTCTTTCTTATAGAAGACTTTCCAACATCAGAAGTTTTAATAGTGTAATAAAAAGACAAGAGGTTACATTCTGTCCATTTAGCAGCATCATGATAGCAGGATATAGTTTAAAAGTGATAGAAAACAGGTGTCCATGTTTCAGGAAAAAAAGCTGCAGCCTTAAAGAAACACAACAGTTCCTGAGCTTTAGCCCACATTTATATGCAGCAACATCAAATTAGAGGTTTCCACTATCAGCAGCTGTATCAGCCCTCAGAAACTCTCACTCCATCCCGTCCACTGCTATTCCCTTCAGGAAGCTGTTGAAGTGATTGTTGCCGCTCTCACTTCCTCTCTGCACATTAACTGTTTCCTGTATGGCACAGTACGAGCTGTCAGCGGCGCTAAAAACTGCAAACAGTCATTGTTCTCCGGAAATATCATTCAGTCCCTCTGGAGACTTATTCACCCTTTGAAATAGTGTTTATTTCCTCTCTCTGGATTTATTTCTGCCACAGTCTGTGAAGACTGACGGTCCCTGAACACACCACATTACAAAAACATGTTTCATAATCAAGTTGTTTTGTTTTAAGCCATAACAATGAGAGTGCTGCAACTATAAAGTAATTTAGGACGAATCTGTCTTTTATTTGAAATACATATTAATTCCATGAAATATGATATCCATCCATAATACTTTCTGAGACTCTTGAGAGGGTTTTGTTTTGTGCAAAATCAAAGATGTTCAGTTTACAGAAGTGTATCTGAAGTCTGAGGTGGGAATTATAATTTGTTGCATACAATATTTATTTTCACTGAAACGACTTAGAAAATCCTCCTAATGTGACATTTATTTCTGAACCAAACTAAAATACATTAAAAAGGAGAACGTCTGCAGTTTGCCTCCTCTTGTGTTTGAAGTCCCATCTTTACTTTTCTTAGTGCGTGTTGGTCTTTTAATAATGGTTTGATTTACATTTTCTTATGTGTTTGGGTAGGGTATTTATTATGACAGTTCAATTGGGTGAAGGGCTTATTTAAAGTTGCTTTCGCAGTTACATTAAATAGATTATAAAGGTGTCCCCGTAGGCTGCTTTATTACACAGCTTCGCTATATTCTGATGAGTGTTGTCCGATAGTTACCTCACTCGGAAGTTTTCAACAACCTGCCATTGCCATGGAAACACAGGCTCAGTTGAATAAACATTTCAGGGAGAGCCAGCGTTTAGTTGGCCCTGCTTTAATAGATAAAAAGCATGTTTCAGCAGTTTTAGTAGAAAGCATAAAAAATAAGTGGATGAGGTGTGTGATTGGAAAAACAAGACATTTAAACATTGAGCTTATGAGCTATAAACTTTGTATTCACAGTTATCAAGTATCTCTGATTCATAAACTACTGATGAGATTTAAAATGCTTTAGTTTACTTCATGTGTCTTTGCTCCTAATCTTCTCTAATGGGCTCTTAAATCACTGTTAACTCATATTTTGTTTATTTAAAGTGAATTTTCTCTTCTCTTTGTTTCTTCTTGTAACATAACACAGTAAAGCACGTAGCTTGCGATAGTAAAGATGCTAAAAGATCCCCATCTATCATGAACTAATCCATAAGTAATGACATGTTTTTTTTTGTCTGTCGGAACTCAAGAGTGACTACATCATGATACTGAGCATTGTAGTATATTTAAAATCAACAAAGTCAAGTATATGAATATAATCAAGCAAGATGATAAAACATGAAGATATGCAAGAGGCCTTCAAAATAAGGGCATACCATAAGGACACTGGCTTCAGTACTCCTGCCTATCCTTATAATACATTTTCTTTCTTTCTTTCTTTCTTTCTTTCTTTCTTTCTTTTCTTTTTTGGGGGAGTGGGGACTTTGATACAACAGAAACCGTCACATGAACTAACCTGGAATTAATTCTATAGCTATGGATGTAATGGACAATTACTTTCCCAATCTGACACAAACTACAAAGTTTTTTACTGCATAAGTAATGTTTTTTTTGCCTCGACTGACGGACTTCAGGTCATCCAGGTCCTGTGCTGACAAACATCATAGAGGTGACATAACTCATGCAGGATGTTGTATCAGGAGCCAGATTCAGTTCAGGATGTGTCGTCCTCTCCTGCCGATCTGCAGAAAGTGATGACTGCTAGAAACCAGAGAGAACCTGTCTCTCCTTTCTGTCCTGCCCTCAACATCAGCGCTGAAATAAATAATCTGTGGTGGACAGAATCAGAGCTCTGCTCATGTTTAGCACGTTGACTTTAGACAAAATAAACATCCAAAAACATTCAGCTCCATTCAAAGCGCTTTGGATGCATGTTCTCAAACCTGCACCCTTTTCTGTACAAGTCGTTCTCCTCACCTGTTCACTTTGAGTGGCAGACTGTCTTCTTTCTGGCTTCTTTCTGCTCCCTTGCTTCCTCTTTTTTGACTGGTTTTCCAAGGTCAGAGAAGAGAGAGGCGACACTGATCGTCCCCTCTGGGTTTCTCTGTGGTTGACAGCTGATCTGACCTCTCACTCCTCCCTCCTCTCCCCTGTTGCTTGTGTCTCTTTGGAGAAGCAGTGTTTCTGCAGCAGCAGGCGTCGCTCAGGATGTGTTGATGATTCCCTGCAGGCTTCAGACTTTGTCACAGTGGAGCCAGAACACGCATCAGCCACCTTTTTATATTTAGAAGCCATACTAAAGACAGATGGGCAGTTTCAGGCAATTTTAGACAATACCATAAAATACCCTCTCTACTGAAGTTGATATGATGATGAGCTTTTTTAATTTCTCTTTCTTGATTGTCTTTGTCCCAAACATCGATCATGTTTATTGCTCTGAGAGTCAGAGAGTTATGCTGGAGTTTCTGTGCATGAGGTCAGCGCAGCATAATGTGGTTCCGCTTTAACCAGCAGCTCACACACATTCCTTACTTAGTACACACACTCTTAACTTAGTACACACACTCTAAACTCATACACCTACATCCCCACATATATCTCTTTCACTTGGTTTTATCATTATCAGCTATGCATGTGTTGTCATTTCAATTCAGGATGTTCTTTATTTTATTGCAATGATTTTCATCAATTGCTTATTCTGTAGATTACTTTCATATTTATTGTTTAGTTTAGTCACTAAAACATCCAAAAACCATCATAACTTCCCAGAGCTGAAGTTGATGTACAGTACGTGAGTGCTGTTGTTTTTCTAACCATTTCCATTATATTTATTTTTTCAGCTGTACAGATTAATATCTGCTTCAAATGTTATCTTCCTATACACAACATATTTGCAGTCTGTAATTCTTTTGTGATGGACTAACCCACAGCTGTAAAGTTTCTCTGCATGAGCACAGAGCTAGAGTTGCGTCTGCGGACCACACCGGCTGCTTCATCATCAAACACATCATCATCGCTCACGGTTCCTCTGGCCGCTCAGATGTATACACAGGGAACGAGTGATCAGAGCGTTTCATCACTCGGCTGCTGCTGGATGTAAATAAACAGTCGGTCTGAAGCAGCGCTGTGACTTTAAGAGCACATGGAGAGAGTCTGATTACCCAGCGTCCTCTCTGCCAGACCTCAGTCTCCACTCTGACTGCCGGCTCAATTAAGCACACATGTGGAAAGAAACAGAGGCGAGCAGCCATTTCCAGCCTCAGCGCACCCACCTTCCCTTCACTTCTCCTTCCTCCCTCTCTCGTAACTTTTCAGCCAATGAGCGCTTTTATGGTCTGAGAAGGAGGCGTGACCTGTCTGTGAAGTGTCTCAGGTTGAGTTGAGGATGACGTCAATGTTTTTTACCTTTATTAGCAGATTCAAGCTGTAATAAAACACCTGTGTTGTAATGAAGACCCTCCTCTGCCTGTCATCAGGAAGAACAGAGGTTAATATGTCCCTCACTACCAATGAGCATTGTCCACACTTAAGATTCATGTCTTTATTGTCATTGGGCAACCTCAAAACAGAGGGTAATGTTCTTAGTTTGCTGAGAATGTAACTTTTTCAAATAATGACCTGTAAAGTCAAATGTATAGGGTGCAAAAATAATTTGTAGTTGAAGCCAGGCCATATTTTGTATATTCTTGTTGCACTGATTTCCATCGTCTTTCACAAGCAGAGTAGTGACTAAATGAAAAGCAAACCACTCTTAGTCATTTCTGTCTGATTTGTCCCGAAAAAGCAGCATCACCTTATGAATCTTACTTCAGAAAAAAGACCAACAACTTAAAGTGAGGTGTCCTTTGTCGTCTGCTGTCACTACACGTCTGCCAAACGCCAAATTGCTTCTTTCAGTTTTTTGTCTTAACAGTTGCATCCAGTTTAAAACTAAATGTGGATTTTATATTTTGTAGTGGCTTAAACAATATGCTCCTCCACAATGGCATGCTCTTAAAAATAAAAAATAGTCGTGAGTATACAGCGTCCTTCATGGAGCTTTAATCTGAGACAGTAACTCTCTTTGTCCACAAAGAAACCAGACCGTTTTTAGTTGTCCAACATGAAGAAAATTGCAATATGCACTGCAGCCAGCTAGCAGCTAATGTGATTGTTCCATCATAGTTTAATTTCTCTGTTACACACACACAAACAACAACCTGATGTCTTTAACCCGTTTGGATGTTGGACTGGAATTGAGAGAAAAGGCTGCAGCTTTATGTGGATGATCACTGTGTGATGGGGAGGATTTAATGTGCAGACTCGTCTCAGTGTGAGTCCGAGGTCACAGCGGGGAGTCTTCAGTGGATTTTCTGGTTTCTGTTTTTCTCTCCGTGTCAAACATGAGTCAGAGTCTGCGTTCCAGTCTGCAGAGTCACAGCAGATCTCTGTTAGATCCCTTGGTACACTCACTGAACCACAGGACCAAGTCTCAGTTAGACAGTGTACAGACAGACGGACTGTAACCATGGCTACCAGGCAGCTCAAAGTGTAGGTGTGCAGGTAGTTCATGCCCAGACATGACAGCATGCACGTCTACACACCTCCAAGTGTTTTTACTCAGAGCTGCAGGGAGAGAAGAGAGGAAAAGAAAAAATAAACAAGCTAATGTTTTATTCGCTTAGAAAGAATCTGTTCTGGTAATTTAAAAAATAAGGGTTTTTTTGCAGCTTGTTTTGTAATTATTATTATTACTTGTGTCTTTAAAGAAGAACAGACAAAAGATAAACAAATAGGTGCAAGTTTATTAAAATAAATCTTTTAAGAATTAAATAAACAACGTTAAACTTGTAGGTTGTTTGGGTGATGGGTTTGTATCACCTGCATGACTTTTTGCCTTCAAGCCGCGGCCTTTGCCCCCTGATCTAATCCCAGGCTTACTGTGTTTTTAAGTAGAATCACAACTTTTCACTGATGAAACTGATGTGAAAAGAAGTGTGTGTCCCTTTTTTTTTCTCTTTAAAAACAGCTCAAATGTGAAGATTATAATGGCACACTCACACTTAGCCATATAAATAACATAAACTCCTTATTTGGTGTCTCTGTCCTCCTCCACCTCCTCCTCTGTCTGCAGCCCTGCTGATAGAGGAGAAATGTTTCACCTCCAGCAAGAGTCACATGACATGAAGTCTGTTCTTTAAGCCCCACTCTTTTCTCAAGCCCTGGACCACACCTATATTTCAGATAAAGATTAGATTCTGCCTCCTTATTCTCCTGAAAAGACTGAAGAATGAAAACCTGTCCTTTATTTTCTTTACACTGACACACACATGAAACCGGGAAGTTCTGATAAATTCTTAATCTCTGTCTCTGGTTCTGACTCAGTTTGTATTTTGTGTTTTTGTCCAGCTGCTGGTCAGAATCCAGACCACGTCCTGCAGGGGACAGGGGTTAAACCTGGGGCACAGCGACCTTGTGGGGACTCGACCATCGCACCCGAGGACGCTGCCCGTTTTCTCAGCTGTTACTGCTCCGGACACTGTCCTGAAGACGCCACCAACAACACCTGCCAGTGAGTAGAGAATCTCTCAAAGAAGCCTGAACTTTAAATTCAATTTAGTTTAGGAAATTCATTTATTTTCCAGCTTAAGTTAAATTATTTTAAAAGTGCTTACAAAAAGTGTAGGTCCTTTTGAATAAGTGAAAGACAGCCCCTCATTTCACCTCCTCATATCCTGAGTTAATATGATTCACTGTAGTTTTTATATTCAGATATCAGTGTTTCGTGCTGTCCACAGAGAGTTACTATCATTGTTCATATATTTGATTGATCTGTGTGTCTCCTCAGAACAAACGGTCAGTGTTTTGCCATCATTGAGGAAGATGAGCACGGTGAAGCCATCCTCACCTCGGGCTGCATGACGTACGAAGGCTCACACTTCCAGTGCAAGGTAAACAACACACACAATGTATACTTTTAAACTCATTTTACATATCTTCTATAAGGTGCCAAGTCTCAAGAAGTTTAGCCTCACTGTTCGCTAAGTGAGATGCACACTTAAACACAGCAGTTTAGATCTTGATTTAGGAAGACATAAACTTCAGTTGTTCCTGAGGTTTTTTTTTCTTAGACAATAAGCATAATACAACAGCTTTCACTACGAAATGTAAGTACAACACAGTCCTAATGTATCAGTACAACAGATACAGTGACAAAGTTCGACTGCAGAAAATTAAAGAAGACGCTAAATATGATACAACCCCTGGATGATAAAATAATCAAACACATCAATGAATCAGGGAATATTACAAAAAGGAATATCAGTCTTTGTTCATTTAGAGGGCAACATGAATCACTACAGCCTTCCAGTAAGATAAGGCTTTGCTGCTGCTGCAGCAGGCGGCCACCATGGGAAAAAAAAGTGCAGTGCCCAGCGCATCGAGTTGAAAATCTTTCAACTTTTTGACGTCACCTGCGTTCTTTGCAAAATTTATAAAATTCCCCATATGTTTGTCTCCTACGGATCATATCGTGTACCCACATCCTCCTTGTCTGTGTCCAGACAGAGTAGGAGGGCAAGCATCCTCTGTTTGATGCTCATAGTGACTGGAGAAAAAATGATCTCAAATATAAAACAAATGAGCAGCATCAGTGATGCAACGGCCGTTTTTTAAGTTACTGTTGTCATAGACACAACATGCATGTGCAGCGCTTTTATTTTCAGCTAAAACATTGCTTCATCCAAGCAGTCTGGAGTGTAAAGCCAGTGCTTTCCTGCCCCCAAAAAACATGAGGTGGACACAGGGTTTAAATCATTAGTTAAACTTGTTTGACACTACACACTAAAGAAATGCTTAGGAAAGTTTCTCCCCTTGCTTGTTTTCGTTTCTGTGTGTTTTACGTGTTCCTTTAAGCCTTTAGGACACATTTTCCCTCCAGTCAGCATTCAAGAGACATAACCACTAGTTGTAGAAGTTGTCCATCTTGTATAATCCACAGACTCTTAAATATGGAGACTACAGAGGCAGTAATCTTCTGTTGGAAAAAAAAAAAAACATTATGCTTTCTCATGCTTCAACATTTCTGGAAGTATAACTATAACACAAAACTGTGTTATGTGTAATTCATCAGACTGGTTGGTGTCAGGTGTGTCCACGGACAGATCAGGTCCTGACAGCTGTTGATCAGTTCAGGTCTAAATGATTCATTTTGATTGACAGGACTCTCCAAAAGCTCAGACCAGGAGGACTATTGAGTGCTGCAACACAGACTTCTGCAACAGAGACCTGCAGCCCACCCTCCCCCCACAGGCTCCTCCCGGTAACACTTACACTCCTCTCATTGTTCAGATTTTTATCAGGTAACCGTAGACCGAGTTAAGCATTGTGATCCGTTCTGTTTTCTAGAGGGAAGCCCCCACTGGCTCGCCTTCCTGATCTCCATGATGGTCTGCTGCTGCACTCTGATCTGTGTCACTGTTGTCTGTTACTACAGGTAGGTCATCACCTATGCATCATCCACAGCACTTTACACCCCCTATAATAATAATATAGTACTTCATTAACATCAGTTAACACTCTGATGTGAGGATTGCTGCAGTTAATCACGTCATGTTGATGGACTTTGTACCTGTCTTTAAAACAACTGCAGCACTTGATAAACATGTTTTAGTTCATTCTTCTGTATTCTAGTATAGCAGAGAGGAATTCTGACAAAATGTCAACAACTTGAGACTAATAAACACAGCTAAAGTTAATTTGTAATTTATAATAATAATCTCACCGTTCTGTGATAGTTTTCTCTTCAGTAGATGTTTATTTTCATATTGAGTGTGATGGTGATTTCTGTTTTTCATACTGTGCGTTTTAAACACGTTTAAACACTTAGTTGTGTTTGTGATGGAGTCGAGGATGTCAGTCAAACTCTGCTGCTGACAGAACAACTCCTCAGAAACCTCCGATAGTCTGTGATTAGAGAGAGCTGTTTCTGATTGTTTCCCCTACCCTCACTGATTTCATTTACATGCACAAATAAATCCTCTCAGCTCTTATTTTGAAAAAGGCTTTTACTAAAATAAAGGTGTTTTTTTTTTTTTTTGTTTTTTGTTTTTTAAGAAGTCATGGTGAAAATGGAAACAGAATATAAAAACAGCAATGAATGAGACCTTCATGATTAAGGGGTTATGAAACCATTGTTCTTTAGAATGAACAAGTATGTGTATTGAAATGCATCATACTTAACTGGCTGTTGGGTGTGTGTATGTGTTTCAGGTACAAGTGGAAGACTGAGCGTCGGCGGTATCACAAAGATCTGGAGCCGGAAGTTTTCATCCCATCTGGAGAGTCGCTCAAAGACCTCATCCACCAATCTCAGAGCTCAGGCAGTGGCTCGGGGCTCCCCCTGCTGGTAGGGACACCACACTGCACCCTCATTATACAAACCTTTGACACATAAATACATATATGTACCATGTTGAGAATAACGAGAGAAGACTTTGACCAATTCAGGATTACAAGAATTATACATACCAGTTTCTTTGTTTCCTTTTTATTGTGCACATTGTTTTTTTACATTTAGCTGCTATGATATTGTAATGAGAGTACGATTATTTGCAGCCTTAGAGTCACAACTGGGTTTTTAAAGCATGTCGTTGTTAGTATTGAGTGACGCAGGTCTTACTTTTAATTAATGAAGCTAATATTAATACTTTTTGACAACATCCCACTTAAAGAACTCTTTCCTGTTTTGACAGACTCTCAAGCAGATGTCTTTTTTTTTATCTGTGTTGACTCTTTGCAAACTGATTTTCAGTTTCAGAGTCTTGATATTTGAAGTTGCTATTTAAAAATCAGAATGTGACTTCATGTCTTCTAGTGACCTGTGTGGGACTGAGCGTCAAAATCAATTATCAAAATTGCAGCCAATCAAATGCTTCAGCTTTAAATGGAAACAATTTTTACGACTACTTTGAATGACCTTTGTAAAAAATATGGACTGTGGGCCTACTTGAATTTTATTCTTTCTTGTTTTCTGCAACAATTCTTCTTTCTTTTTTTCTAATAAATTGGTCATACTGAGCAAGAGTAGTGTGCAGGAATTCTCCTTTTCACGTAAGAGTTAGTCGCCCTTCACACCTACTTTATGAGAAAGTTAGATGTGCAAACACATCCTTTAAAAAACATTGATTGAAGCTATAAAAGACAGAAAAGATATTCATAAAACTACATCAAAATAAGCACGATAAAAACTCTTGTCTCTCTCTTCTCTCTTGCCTGTACAGGTGCAGCGAACCATCGCCAAACAGATACAGATGGTGCTTCAGATCGGGAAGGGGCGGTACGGCGAGGTGTGGCTGGGCCGCTGGAGGGGAGAGAAGGTGGCCGTCAAAGTCTTCTTCACCCGAGAGGAAGCCAGCTGGTTCAGAGAGACTGAGATCTACCAGACCGTCCTGATGAGACACGAAAACATTCTTGGTAATGATCACATCCATCTCTTATTAAACTTTCACCTTAAACAGAATCTTTTCAAGCTACAATTGAAAATAAAATCTAAATACAAGAGGACAATTTTTCTCATTTAGTCCTCCAACACTTTACACATTAGCCCACTTATGTAACAACAATGGGCGAGTTACTGGAAATTAGTAACTAGTTACAGTTACTGAGTTACTAGTGAAGTTACTGCATTATGTGTTGTTGTTATGCTTTCTTCTGCATTGTCAAAGCACTTTGTAAAACCTTCTTTTTAAAAAGCGCTATACAAATAAAGTTATTATTATTTCAAAAGAAACTCGTTAGTTGGGAAAGTAACTTTACTTTTTTGCTTCAATACTCATATTTATGTTCACTCAATACTGTTGCTTTTGCAGTGTGAGAGGAACAAATTCGCACATTTCATATAATGTAGCTGTTTTCAATATTTAGGAATTTGGTTATTAGTTCTCTGAAGGCGACAGACTCAACAGTTGATATGGGAAACATTTAATCAACAACATGTCGGTCTGTTTAGTCGTGGCTTACAGGTCATAGAGTGGGCTTGGATGTATAATCAAGCCGGCTGTTTGTGTGGAGAGTCTCCTCCTATGTCTGAGCTAACGTGAGCTGCACTGAGCTTTCAGACAACTCGTTTAGTAGAAGCTTGTTGTTAAGCACGATGCTTCGTGAGATTAGAATTTCTTGTACTGTCTTTGGAGTGGGACAAAGTTTTTCTTCCTGCACTATAACTGTTGAATATTTCACATAAAGTACATGTAACGAGTGGTTGACTTGATACACTACTAGTTACCTCATATAGCAATGGAGTTACAGTTACTCCTGATACTGATTGGTACATAAGGGTTATGAAGGGAATTTTTGGTGACCCGTATGAATAGGAGGAATGATTTCAGTCACTAACACCAGTATCAGTGTTTAGTGTTCATGTGGACACCTGGCGGCTGTTTAAAGGATTGAGAAGTTGTTGTTTTTTTAAATACAAACTAGCAGAGTACTTTAGTGAAAGAGTGAACTGTGAGCTCAGAGAAAATGAGACGCCTGAAGTCTGCAGGACTCGAGGATCAATACCTTAACTACTACTAATGACAGCGACGACACCTAATGTCTGTCAGACTAGTGACACACCAAGATGATGGGCTGTTAAACAGAGACAGAAGGTGGTGTGATGAACTGAAAACTATAATTCAGTTGGAGAGAGGAGGACAACGGAAAGAGATACAACAGGCATACTTTTGACTTTCATGTTTATAGAAAATGAATCAAAACAGATTGTAAGAAAATACTTTAATTAACGTATCTTGAGTGTTTGAAAAGGAAGCCCTGCAAATAGAAATTCTGTACCAAACAGACTTTTTCAGTGCAAAGATAAAAGTGTTTAAAATGTAATATAAAGATTCAAATGGACTTTTTTAAATGAATCTCAAAGATAAAAGGTAATTGGACACCAGATATTTGGTAAACATCTTCAGCAGCAACTGGTAATAAAACCTGTTGTGTTGTTTGGTCACATTGTACATTTTCAAAATTGTAAAATAAATGTAAACATAAATTGATTAAAAATAATAAAAAAAACTGCAGAGTTTTGCTGATTCAATTCACAAAAAGGATAAAATAAAATAAAAATATAAGATGTTGGTTCAAAGTTAGAAACTTTTGTCTGAAGATGAATACGTCAGTCTGTAAGGGCCTGAAGGAGAGAAAGTCCAATCAGTGTGAAATTGTGAAGTCACCAAAATCTGTAGTTAATACATTTTTTTTTTCTTACAACACTGATCAGGTACTTTAATCTTTCACATAAAACATATTGTTAAAGTTACTCTGGTTGTGTCTTTTTAAGTACCTTAAAGTTGTGGTACATTTATTCTACAGTTGTATACGTATGTATTCATGTATATATATAAACAGTATATACATATTGTTATATTATGTCATCAGTGGAGATTTGACCTGTCAACATTCTCCTGCAGGTTTCATAGCGGCTGACATTAAAGGAACAGGCGCCTTTACGCAGCTCTTCCTCATCACGGACTATCACGAGAACGGCTCTCTGTACGACTACCTGAGGCTGACCACGCTGGACACGCAAACTCTGCTGCGGCTGGCGTACTCGGCTGCATGCGGCCTCTGTCACCTGCACACAGAGATCTACGGCACGCAGGGAAAACCAGCAATCGCCCACCGAGACCTGAAGAGCAAAAACATCCTTATGAAGAAGAACGGCACCTGCTGCATCGCCGACCTCGGCCTTGCTGTCAAGTTCAACAGGTGAGCAATGCTCGATATATAATCTTATACTTCACTTGATAATAGTTTTGTTTACTTTTTTTTTCTAAATTAAAATAATGACAAAACAATGATGAAACTGTTTCAGTGATCAGTTTTAATTTAAAGCATTATGTTAGATAGTAGTGTGTCTCATCAAATATAATCTTAAAAAATAAACCAAATATTATAGGAAGATGAATTCTCTGTACTACTCTAATCTGACTACCACTGTCCCCTCTTTTTGTTGCCATAGTGACACTAACGAGGTAGACATCCCTCTGAGCACCCGAGTGGGGACGAGGCGCTACATGGCCCCCGAGGTCCTGGACGAGAGCCTCAACAAGAATCACTTCCAGGCTTACATCATGGCCGACATGTACAGCTACGGCCTCGTCATCTGGGAGATGGCCCGACGCTGCGTCACCGGAGGTATGCACACACAAACACACACGTGAAGAACACGTGTATGGCAGCAACACATGAATACTACAGGTGTTATAGTAATGTCGAAGCAGTTGTGTTGGATTAGACTGAACATATGTCTGATAAGCATTTGTCTGAAAAGTGTGGGAAGAAGGGAACAACCCAACCGGTTTAAATCAACTTTGAGCTTCAATGATTGTTTAACTCTAGGCGAGCAAAATTAACCGCACTGTTGTGGCCTCTTAAATGATCTGTCAACATCAGCAATTGTTTTGATTATTGACTAATCTTCTCAGTCATTTTTTAACCCAAATGTCAAATATTACCTGTTTTCTTTTCTCTCTTACATTTTAAGATGTAATGCTTTCATAATCACTAGGGATCAAATTATCACCACAGCGATTAAGTTATAGTTTTGGACTGGTTGTTCGACAAAACAAACAAATTAAAGTGATATCTCGGGGCGCCAGTAGCGTAGTGGTTAGTGCATGCTCCACATGTGCAGAGGCTGTAGTCCTCCAGGCGGGCGGCCTGGGTCCGAATCAGTCCTGTGGCTCCTTTCCCGCATGTCATTCCCCACTCTCTATCCTTGGATTTTCCACTCTATGCACTGACCTATCTCTAAAATAAAGGCACCTTAAAAATAAATAAATGAAAAATGAAAGTGATCACTGTGTTTGGATAGCATTATTTACTGTATTTGCTTTCTAACACATTCATTGATTTATTAAGATTAGGTTTGAATATGTTAAATGTTTTTATTGTCCATCAATCTGGTTTTGTTTGTCTTTAAATTATTGGTTTCTAACAGTTGAATACTGACTTCTAAAAATGCCAAACAAACAGGTGATTCATTGACAGTGTTCTACAGGTGAGTGGACAGTAAACACAAAGGCTGCTGTCCAACACTTTGTAGTTTCAGTTGTTGACCTTTCCCTTTCTGTTTCTTCTTCTCTTGTTCAGCAAATAAACTTGAATGTTGTTGACATCAGATTGTTGCTCTCTCTTTCTCTGCTCAGGTATGGTGGAGGACTACCAGCTGCCGTACTATGAGATGGTGCCCTCTGACCCCTCCTATGAGGACATGCTGGAGGTGGTGTGCGTTAAAGGACTGCGGCCCACAGTGTCAAACCGCTGGAACAGTGACGAGGTAAGACTCAACAGAGACTCAGAAAACTGACCTGAGATCAGCTTTGAACTGAAGCCAAAGGCCCTGTGCGGCTCCAATGAGCTCAATGTTAACATTCACACAGTGAAGATAAAACATGCTGTGATGAAATTCTGCAGCTACTAATGGACCGGTTCACATCTAAAACTACTTACTGTAATCAAATGAGACTAAATAATACCGTTAGTGAGGTCAGTTTATTTGATGTAAGTGAAGTTAAGTGTTTTATTCAATAAACACTTTATCTGTTCCTATAAATCATATATTTGGTATCAGACAGATGTGTGGAAATAGAGAGTGCATTGTGAACCTGTTGTGTTTCAGCTCTTAAAGTCTGACTCATGGTCACTACCTTGAAGCACTGTTCAGTTGTACACATTTCTCATTTTCACAATGGTCAGTTTGACACACTTGAGTGAAGTTGATTGAAAAACCTGCAGGAAGTTAAGAGAAATGTGCAGCTAATCAGACTGAAAATAAAAGCAGAGTAAGTAAATATGATTTTATCCATCAGGGGTTTTCGGATGTGATGAACTCTGCTTGAATCCAAACTAAATTAGCTCAAGTTTGTAGTTAAGCTTTATTCAGTCAGACACGTCTTCCTGACATCTGGATGAAGTTGCTCTAAGACATCTCGACCTCCAGTTGGTGTGTCTCTAATGTTGTGTTGCTGTGTTGTCATGTTTGCGCAGTGCCTTCGAGCCATGCTGAAGCTGATGTCAGAGTGCTGGGCTCATAATCCTGCCTCACGCCTCACCATCCTTAGAGTGAAGAAGACGCTCGCCAAGATGGTGGAGTCCCAGGACATCAAAATCTGACCGCCCTCTACATCATCCTCAATCTCTTCCGCGTCCCATCACCTCCACCATCAGACTCATCTGAAAACCCAGAACACACCCAGCCTGACCTGGAGCAGGATCAGACCGGACTGGCTTCTCCAACCTCAGTATATCAACCTTCATCAGGATGGGGGGAGAGGAGGAGGAGTTGGGAGATAAGAAAGGACCCATCAGAGGGCTGAGCTGTGCTCCTCCTTCTCCTTCCTCCATTCTGGAAATAAAACATGGAGTCCTCCCTCCTCATACTCCTCCTCCTTCTGGCTCGTAGGTGGCGAGACAGCCAGTTTGACGCTTTCTGTGAAAGCCAAACAAGACGATAATTTTGACGAGGGCTTCCTGTTGGAGGGGAGGGGAGGGTTCTTGACACTCGTTGTGACTGAACCATGAAAATTAAAAAAAACATTTTTCCTTTTTTTTTTTTTTTTTTCCAAGGACCCGCCTGGCCCAGCCTTCCTCCACTTCTGCCTGTTTCAGAATGCCAATTTATTACTTTGTTGTTACTTTCTCTTCAGGACTGAGTTCTCCTGCCATATTGAAATATATCTCCACTCTGAAAGTAGAGTTAATTATAAAGAGAAATAAGGTACTATTATAATATGTGAATTTTAATGTGTAAATAAATGTTATCATTGGATGCCGTGCCTACTCATAAGAAGATTAAAAAACCAGAACACTATGCTGCAGTGGTGTTGACGTCCAGCTGACTCCAGGAGAGGATGGTGTCGCCATGGAGACGTCTCCCGTCCTGTCTGTCTGTCCGTGTTGTGGTTTATGTCTGTCTGTCTGTCAGCTGCTCTAAATATGTGGAGCTGCTCCCGAGTGTCAGAGAAGAGACATCATTGGTCGAGTTGAACCTCAGTGGGTGGAACTAACGAGCATAGTGTCAGTCCTAAACAAGAACTGCAGATCTGTTCAGCGAGCCATAGAGAAGTTCACAAGTCCCTCCCCTTAATGCCAATAGAATATTCAATTTGTCATGTTTGGGGGTGTTTAAACTCCTTTTGGCTCAGTGATTAAGAATATTGCTTTACAAATTCTCTGTATCTTTGGATCTTCTGAGGCACTTTTGAGAAGCTTGTATTCTAACAGTTGCAACAAAAAAGTCTAGAAAAAATGCGCAAGACAATGAAATGCATTGGAAAGCAAAATGTGAATTTTAAAACCTAAATTAAACGTAATGCAGTTATTAAACAAAAGATAAAGAGGATTAAAAGTTCACATGAAACAGTTAATGGACTTAAAGATGTCCAAAATCATTTTTTCCCTGAATTAGAAAATGTGTTCCCTAGCTGTGTAATCTGTGACTTAGAGTTTGGACTGTAAACAATCCAAGGTTCAAAAGAAAAGCTAAAGGAGGTGATCGACCAGGAGAGGGAATCTTACCTTTAAGTGTAAGACAAAGTAACATTTTGATTCCTCCTGACGGTTATTAGCTAACTAAGCGTGCTCGTTGTGAGGTTGTGGCTCATAAAGTTGGACTTAGAGTTTCTAAACCCAAAAGCTAACCTTCTTCCTGTTGGGTTAAATCTTGGACGCTCCGCTTTGAAAATGGTTTGTAGATTTGTTTAGGCTCCTCCCACTCAGGTTTTACTTGTTCACTCAGATTGTTTCTAATATTCTGTGTCTTGTGTTTTTTCTTTCTCTCAGTTTTTTTCTTCCTAAATCATTAAAATCGATGAACCCTTTCAGAGACAATTCAGACAAAACTCCCTTAAGAATATTTGAGAAAACAAGTGGTGAGTGCAGAAAGCTTTGTGCAGCTGGAAGACTTAAAGCAGGGGTGTTCAGTGTGAGTCATCACCTGTTTTATCTGGTCTATTAAAAGGTTTAGAGAAAGAAACAAGATTGTGATTTTGTAGCTGCAGAGCTATGTCAGCAGTCTGTCTTTGCTTCCAGTCGTTGTGCTAAGCTAGGCTCAACAGCTGGATCCTCTCTAAACACCCAGATGAAATGTTGGACTGTTCCTTTAAATATTTTCTGATTTTGGCTCTTGTCGGATGTGCACATGTTGCCTAGTGTGCAAGTTCTGTCAGATCATGTGCGTGCATGTTGGTGTGAGCGTGAGTTAGTGTGTGTGTGTGTGCGTGTCTGTGTGAGCATGCAAGTGTGTGTGTGTGTGTGTGTGTGTGTGTGTGTGTGTGTGTGTGTGTGTGTGAATGCTTGTAGCTTACAGTTCATACATTAGCTGTTTAAGAGCAGTATCTTAGTGTTTTTCTCTGTAATAAATATGCAAGAAAACAAACCCCTGTATAGGAATAATCTCTAATATGTAAATCTATAATGTTTTTTTTTTTGGTGTTGTTATTTTGTACAGCATCTGGTTCGGTGCCTTATGAGTTTACCAAGGAAATGAAAAAACTCTGTAAACAGTCTGTCCAATGTAACGACTTCTAAGTAAATAACCTTATTTTAGTACACAAACTGACAGCGTCCATTTTTCTTCTTGATCCTCTTCGTTTTATTTTACAAATTCACTTCCTGTTTGGAAACACTTTATTTTTTTTATCATTTTTTTTAAAGATTTATTTTTGTGCCTTTAATGGAGAGATGGGACAGTGGATAGAGTTGAAAATCAGGGAGAGAGAGAGTGGGGAATGAGATGCAGGAAAGGAGCCAGAGGTCAGATTCAAACCTGGGCCGCCCGCTTGGAAGCCTCTATACATGGAGCGCGCGCTCTAACCACTGCTCCACCAGCACCGTGAGGAAACACATTTCTACCAAAAAAAAACATGGATTATTAGTTTACAATGAAAGAGTGAAGCATGATGGAATATGTTATTGACAAGAAACTAGGGCGCATTTATCATTATATTTATTCATAAGAAGTCAACATTTTAAATAATTTTATTAATGCAAATCTTGAAAACCTTATTAAATAAATTAAGTGATTACATTCATTTTCGACCCACCTTATAATTCAGTGATACTTTGCATTCAGTAAAATTGACCCAAAAATGAAATCTGCTTAAACAATTCAATGATTTAGTTTTAGTTTTTTCGGTTTTCATCATTTTAATTTTACTTTAGAAATGAGCCTTTTTGATTTCCAGCAATTTCGAGCAATTTGAGAGAGTTTTTTCTCATCTACACTTGGAAAATTAGAATAACTTCTTTCAGACCATAAAGCTCAAATCTTTGAACAGTTTGTTTTTCACAACAGATGAGAACCTTAACCATTCAGGTCAATTGCATCGATGATTGTATTGACGATCAATTAAAGTCGACGAGTGCTGAAGATTAAGTACAGTTGTCTACAAAACTGAACAATTATAACTCCTACCATCTGATCCAAACTGATCAGTTGATCCTGAGTGAAACTGTCAAACTCTTAACAACTTCTAAACTTTCTTTCATCAAAAAAGAATTGAATAGAGCAGTAAGAAGTCAGTGTGAACACAAATTCAGATATTTTCTAACAGAAACTTTGACTGACACAAAAACATCAACAAGATGAAAGAAGGATGAAACATCTTTAGCAGTACAGCTCACACGACAACAAAACGACTTCAATTTTGTGGCATTTACTGATTTACTGACATAGTAACTCAAACTACTACTTGAAGTGTTAATTAAATGTTTATGGTGAATTAGGACATTTTGCAGACATGCAATATTATGTTATTTTCCCATTAAGCAGTTATGACGAAACAGTTTAATGAATATTAAGAGTGTTGTGAAAAATGAGTAAGGACAACTGTAAAGGGTAAAATCATGTTAACATGATGCAGAAATGTGAAACTTTGTGACTTCAGGTATTTCGAGAAGGCATTGAGGAGAGCTCCGCCTGCTGGACAAGCACTGGAACTACCTCTGAGAAACAGGAATAAGGTGGGAATGTTGTTTGTTATGTTCATAAAAGATTGCATTTACAATTTCTCTGCGTATAGAAAAAAATATAGAAAAAAGTACAGGAATCAGGAATTTAGGTTTGTGAAATTTGGCCATTATAATCAAAAGATTCATCAAGTACACACAAGTGTTTTTTTCTGTGTACTACTTCCCCAAAGACCAAACTACATTCTTCCAAGATAAAACAAATCTCTATTGATTTTTTCATTAATGAAATCACAACTTTTTTGCTAGAGCTCCTTTACAGTTAGGCAATACCAAAATAAATGTATAACAGTTTCAGATTATTCATTACAAAAATTACAATTTACATCTATGCCTGTCTTAAATCTTTTTACAATATGATCTTTATCAGCTGATAAAATGTATGGATGAGTATATCCATTAGGTAGCCAAGACTTCTTCCATGCCACATCATCCACAAGTCTATTCCAATAAGAAATTACATATGGTAGAGTTGTAACATCCTTTATGTATATATTTATATATTTATATTATTAGGATAACAAGAACATAAATATTGTCCCTATTGATGTGCTTGCTTGGAGATAACAGAGGTAACTGTCGGCCATCAATCCTTGTTTAATATTTCAAAAGCACACAGACTCCAGAGGGCAAAGCCCCAAACACTTCTGAAAAAAATTGGAAAGAAGACCCTCCCTGTTGAACAGCTGATCGACCAACACAACATTATTGTGAAACCAATATGCCGTAAAGGGATTTGTGTTGACACCGAATATACTTGTTGTTCCAGATAAAATAGTTATGGGGTGAAAAATTGTGTTTGTAGATGAGTGACCATGACAAGAAGGAGACATTTTTACAGGAGTGTTTTCTATATCATAGTTACAAACAAGGAAACAATGAATGCTGCACAGCTTAGACAATATGTAGGTAGAGGTATATGTCAAATGAAGGCAGGGTTTTTAAAAACTTGCTTAATCCAATTTATCTTAAATGTATTATTTAAATTGTAAAATTCCCAAAAATTAAGCCTGCCATTTCCATATGAACTCATGAGAAGCATTTTCTTCAAATTCTGGGTCCTATTTATCCAAATGAAATTGAACGGCATTTTGTTGATCTCTTTCAGTAGTTTTTTATCAAGATGCAGAGCCGACGCTGCATCAGTCATCAGTCAGTCGAGAGATTCCCTCTGCTGTAGTAAACAAGACTCTTCCTCATAATGACAAATCCTTTAAGAGCCATTTGTTGGTTTGTTTTCTGTATATGGGATGAACATTTAAGGTGGTTCTATTTTGTTGATCCTAAGTAATTAATATCCCCAAATATTGCACCTCCTTTTTCAGTGGAATGTGGAAAGTGCAGATTCAGCACATTCTTTAATAACCATTAGTTCACATTTGTTTATATTCAAGCACAGACCAGAAGCCTTTAAGAACTCCACATTAACTTCAATGGCTACAGAAGTGTTATTTTCATTTTGTAGAAAACGTGTGGTGTCATCCTCCTGCTGAGTTATAATTAATTCTCTACCAAGCAGAGAGATACATTTTAATGCACTAGATTTAACATGGTCTGCCAAATGCTGAGTCACTCTCAGGAAGAGATATGGGGAGGCAGGACAACCTTACCTAATACCACCAGACAGATTCAATCTATGGGATGTACCACCCAATAATTGAATGAAGAGAGGTAGATTTACTATACAACAAATTCTATCCATCACCAGGTGTGGGAGGTAAAAAGATTGTTTTATTAAAGCTGTCTTAAATAAGAAGTCATCTTTTAGTCAATAAATTGATTAGAAAATGTGAAAAATAGTCCAAACATCTTTTTTAGCCAAAATTCAACCACCAAATATATTTAGTGTAGCACAGTGCTGTTTTAATCGTGAATTTTTGTGTAGAGAACCTGATATATTTCATATTGATAATATGTAATGTCTGCTTAAACTAGAGATTAAGATAGGTTAATATAATTATGTGACCTTACTTTCTAAAACTACATCTAGTGATATTCCATATTTAAGATTTATGTTGGTCAATTTGTTAAAACTGGAGAGAAAACAGCTTGAGCTACTATCACAGCATGTGATACATGACAAACTATATCACTGGTCACTTAGCTTTATTCCCAAGGAGCTGATGAGCAACTTTTTCAACTGAATGTTCTGGTAGATAAAAAAAACAAGCTATTTGTTATTAATCAGGGTAGTAAACACCATTTATATTCATTCTAAATGAATGCTAGTTAAAGCTAGTTATTTCATTAGATACTCTTAACCCAATTATAACTCATACTGTCTGTACTCTGACTTCTACTAATTCCACACATTTGTCAATAAAACAACCTGCACAAACTAGACCAAGACATTTCACATCAAACTTTGCTGAGGTTTATTTTACTGATAATTGTTTATTTCGTACCCCAGCAATGTTTCATGACTTTACATTTCTATATTGAGTCTAGCACGTCATAGCTCTGGTTAGGAACCTTGTCAACTTGCGACCCCCCCCCCCGTATATCAAGTAGTCTTGGCCAGTCTTTCCCTGAACATTTTAAAATTATTTAAACAACAAACTGTTTAACCGTGAATCAGTCATCCAAACCGTTGCCATAGAAAATACATTTGAAAGGCTTTTAATCAGAGTAAAGTAAAAATAAATACTCGTGACACCTAACCTTCCTTGGTTGTTCCAGGCTGGTGGTGTTTATTGCCTTGTTATTCATAAAAGCGTATCATTATTTTCAGTGTTTCACAGCCTGCTGAAACTCCTCACAGGAGCTAGTGAACAGAACTAAACACCATCCTGTCAGGATAGTGTCAGTAAAACACACAGAGTCTGATTTATGTCAAACATTTTCGTCTTTATTAACGCCCCTCAGAGTGTCCCTGTCTACTTGTCCTCAGGCTTGTTGAAGCAGTAGGTGAGGCAGCACTTCCCGCAGTAGTGACGGTCGAAGTGACTCGCCATGAAGACGCCGGCACCGCACTCGTCAGCAGGACACTCACGCCTCAGCCGATGGATTTTACCATTTTCATCCACCTGGACAAAAAAAAAAAATCAATTGATGTAGCAACAATTTGGTTCATACAGACAAGTGGGAAAAAAAACAACATTCCTCAATGAACTTATCAAACATTATAAACTAACACCAACTCAACATTTCCTACAGGTAGGCTCAACATGAAGATGTTTTTGTACCTTGTAGTACTTGAGCACAGCGAGCTTGACCTTCTTCCTCTTGTGCTTGTTCTTCTTGGGGGTGGTGTAGGACTTCTTCTTCCTCTTCTTGGCACCACCGCGCAGCCTCAACACCAAGTGAAGAGTAGACTCCTGTAGAGGACGAGAGATAAAACTTTAAATAACCAGGAGCCTCAGTGTTCCCATCCACTTCTAAAAGAAAAAAGGTTTAGCTGCCAAAATGTTCTGCTATGTTCACCAGCTAGTCTCAACCACATACCACATGGTCACATACCAGACTCTGTTATGCACCTGAAGCTCCCTGAAGGGCCAAATGCAATAGACAATCTGATACCATAACTGAATGTTAACTTCATCTACCAGTTATAGTTTCTTCTTTGCTGCACTACACTGCCTGCATGGAGGAATTCTGATGACACTGGTAAACCAGAGAAGAAAAGAAGTTAACTGTGCTGTGATCTAGGAGAATGCAGAATGGGCCTGTGGGGGGGGGGGGGGGGGGGTGTGACTACACGCGCTGTAGTAAACGTTCGACACGCGTATTACAGTATAGTCTGTATTGCCTTATTTGACAGAATCTGTGCATTTCCTGTTATTTCTGACCATTTTATAAAATAATATCATCAATATGCCTAAGTTACTGAAACCCCAATTAAATCTGGTAAATAATTTTTTTTTTTTGTAACAGTGAAACAGGGGAGGAGAGGGATTTTGAGGGAGAGGGGAGGTCACATCCTGTCAGTGCATTTCACCCTCTTCCTATGATGGCTGCTCTTTTGCTGTAAATTATGTTTTAGTTTTACATATACATTTACACAAGTACATGTATTTGAGTTACAGTATTGTGTCAAATAATCACAGATTTTACAGTCAAAGACAACTTGGATCATTTGATCAGATCAGGAAATTGAGAAATAATAAAAATATATTTGCTGGCTATAACGCAGCGCTGTTTGACAGTCTGTGTGGAGAAGTTCACAGACTACAGCTGGCTGACGTTACGATCGTTAAGTTATTGATTATTGATAAAAGAATTCTCTATGCTGGACAAACCCTGGAACGTAATGATAGTCAGAGTATAGCAAGCAGTTTCATCTTAAACTGAGGGTCCCCCAAAAGTCTCCTAACAGATAAGAGCTAGATGTGTCAAATAGACTTCTATTCCATTCAAGTCCATACAGAACTGTTGTGGCCTCCAAGTTTTAATATAACGGTCTCAGATAGGATTGACTGTTATAGGTATAAAAAAATATACACCTTTTGCTCATTGTATGTAATGGTTAAGATTAACTTGGGCACACAAACAGACATGTTGGTTTGTTGTACACTTCTTAGATTTCTGTACCTTGTATCCATTTAGCAAATTCAAAACCAGAAAAGATATTGCGTTGCCCCGTGTGTTAACGGTGCCTGGCATGCGCAGGTGGTACATCAGCTCACCTTCTGGATGTTGTAGTCAGACAGTGTGCGTCCATCCTCCAGCTGCTTTCCAGCGAAGATCAACCTCTGCTGATCAGGAGGGATACCTGCAGACCAGAGTAAAACGTTAGTTCAGCAGAATCTAAGTCTATTTCAGACAGGTGTTGCACTTCATTTTTATCAGAATAAAAACACTAAAGCTTCAGAAACCTTAGTACCTTTAAGGCAAGCCAAGTACAAGCACAACATAATTCAATCTAGAAATGTTTACACTTTCAATCATCTTTGATACCAGTTGCATAGGAAACTGCAACAGAAGTCACAAATGCTTATATTAGGACAGGGGTGGGCAACTGGCGGCCCGGGGGCCACACACGGCCCTCTTCAACCCTCAAAGTGGCCCTCAGGTCAATTTTTATATATCAAAACATGACAAAATCTGCCATGAAATCATGAAAACCAGAAATATTTCCATAATAATATTTGATCACTGGTATATGTTGAGTTAAATTGAAGACATAATTGACTGTTATCGTTTTTGTATTCTACAATTTGGCCCCCTGGCAGTCAGAACTAAGTGAATGTGACCCTTGCTTTGACCAAAGTTGCCCATCCCTGAACTAGGTTAAACTGCATTTTAATGTAAACCTTTTATTTTCTAATTAGCTCAATGTGAAATTAATAAGGCTTTTAAATGTGTGATTTAAAAACATTGTCCATAACTTACTAGTCCCAGTGGATCAACACTCATCAATGTCTGAGGAGTTTTGCATTGATGAAAACAAGACGAATTAATTTTTAAGTCTTGTTCTAAATAAATCCTGAAGAAAAAAAACCCACTTGTTTTTAATACCCATGAAAGAAATCAACATGGAATAACAAACTCACCCTCTTTGTCTTGGATTTTGGCCTTGACATTTTCAATAGTATCTGAAGGCTCAACCTGCAAACACAAGAGAAGTCAGACGTGACGCGGTCAAAGCTTCAGCTACACGCGGCCTGACGTCATTAAAGCTCATCTGTAGCTCCTATTTGACATGACAATCAGTGAGAAATGTGAATAAATGCATGAAGAGAAACTTAATGAAAGTTGGCTGTTTTCCGTCACACGTGTTTACAGCAACATGAGAGGCAGCGAACTGTTAGCTTAGCAACATAGCTAATGTCTTTATTGGGCAGGACAGGACATGACGTTCACTTGACTCGAGTTTAAACGCATAATAGCTACAACTCCATTTATATCTTTCAATCTATGTGGTTCGATGTGTAATTATAAGCCACATTTAACAGTAAAATAAGTAAAACTTGGGGAAGCAGCAGCCGCTAAAAGGCGCATCCCTCCATCACACTGCGGCTCACCTCGAGGGTTATAGTCTTCCCCGTGAGGGTTTTCACGAAAATCTGCATCCTGGCGTTCCGACCACCTACAACAGAACATAAACACAACTCTATTAACCCGATGTTTAATGTGAAACGCGCTTTTAAAGTTGTTATTGTGACGAATAATAGCTGTAAATGTAGAGCACGATCTTACCACAGGCTCACTCCTAATGGCGGATCGTGAGAAGAGGGCTTTCAGAGGGTGCGACGGGGTTTTCTGCACAGATTTGCACGGGTTAGGTAACTGTTATGGTGCCTGGTCAAAAATATCAAAAATATGTATATTTTGGCAAACTTTAGCGTCTATTTGTACAACGTTTGAGCATCAACACGAATAAAAAAATGTATCACGGAACATTAATGAGTAGATATAGATATCATGAAATAAATATTTCAAATACGTCATTTCCTTGATATCGTTTCACGGTAACCATAGCAATGCGGGAGCGAGCTGCGCACTGGCAGAAGAGCAAAAGGTTAAATGTAAAAAAACAAAAATGTGTGAGCCAAAAAACAGTTCATACTTAGGTAGAAATGAAGGACATGCAACACCCGACGTTTTGATAGCCGGTAGCGATGAAAGTTTCTTTCAGTCTCTATTTGAGTTTATTAAACACGAGAAACAGTACCTGCAGTGTCCACCAGAGGGCCCGGACGAACTTCACTACATCATCTACCGCTCTGTGTTTAATAAGGTATGAACCATATGAACCATAATATATATATATATATATATATATATCTATAATATTTACAGTCTTTGGTATGAACATATATAATATTTACAGTCTATGGTATGAACATGGATAATATTTACAGTCTATGGTATGAAAATGGATAATATTTACAGTCTAAGGTATGAACATGGATAATATTTACAGTCTATGGTATGAACATGGATAATATTTACAGTCTAAGGTATGAACATGGATAATATTTACAGTCTATGGTATGAACATAATATTTACAGTCTAAGGTATGAACATGGATAATATTTACAGTCTATGGTATGAACATAATATTTACAGTCTAAGGTATGAACATGGATAATATTTACAGTCCATATATTTACAATCTATGGTATGAACATATATAATATTTACAGTCTATGGTATGAAAATGGATAATATTTACAGTCTAAGGTATGAACATGGATAATATTTACAGTCTATGGTATGAACATATATAATATTTACAGTCTATGGTATGAACATGGATAATATTTACAGTCTATGGTATGAACATAATATTTACAGTCTATGGTATGAACATATATAATATTTACAGTCTATGGTATGAACATAATATTTACAGTCTATGTGGTATGAACATATATAATATTTACAGTCTATGGTATGAACATGGATAATATTTACAGTCTAAGGTATGAACATGGATAATATTTACAGTCTATGGTATGAACATAATATTTACAGTCTAAGGTATGAACATGGATAATATTTACAGTCTATGGTATGAACATGGATAATATTTACAGTCTATGGTATGAACATAATATTTACAGTCTAAGGTATGAACATGGATAATATTTACAGTCCATATATTTACAATCTATGGTATGAACATATATAATATTTACAGTCTATGGTATGAACATGGATATAAGGTATGAACATGGTTAAGCTGCGAACAAGCACATCATGTACAACTTTCTAATGAATAACAGTTATACACTGTTATAAGATTCAATAAGCAGATCAATTAAAAGCTGTCTACAAGTATATAACAATTAGCCTAGTTGTAGGCCTATAGCTGACTAGATCAGTAACAACTAACAATTAATGAAGAGCTTTGAGTTCGCAGGTGAAAAATGAGTCTGTTGAAGCTGTCACTTTTTATTTTAAGAAATAGGGGTAGATAGCTGATCCCTGGCTCAATCCCTATTTTAGATAATTTAACCACCATCTTCTCCAGGTTTCAACGATCAACTTGTTATGTCACATATTTATTTATTTTCTTGAGAAACCCCAAATTTTAAGGCTAGAATTTCTAACATTAAGATTAGCAATTAAATTATATTGATGCTGCAAGGTCACTGCTGTTACTGCTGCTGAAGATAAATAAAGTTTTACTACGTAATGTTTCTCTAAAAGATGCTGACCAATGGGGGGTTTGTCTTTAATGCATTGGAACAAAACAAAATGATGTAGTGGTCCTCACCATCCATAGCAAAAACTAAACAGTATATTATTTTTGCATTGAGCTAATGGCAACATGCTTCACTGTCTAGCATATGCAATTGCATTATGAGACAGTGGTTTTTTTTTATAGTTTAAAAGGAGATGCAAACTGTTTTATAAACAAGACAATTAAAAAAAAAATCTGAAATGTTCTTTTTTCTCCTTGCCTCGTTTTGCTGTCAGGTAATTAGACGAGCGACAGCCTACAAAAGACTTCTGCTGACTATAAAAGGGGAGTATGATGATGTCATCAGGGAGCTGCAGAGGAGGGAGGATGAGGCCATGGAGGCTCAGCGAAATCTTGTGGCCTCAACATCACACCCCAAATCCCTCATAACCTGCCAGAGACGAGCTGCGCAGCTGAGGGATAAGTTAGTGTTTGTGCACCTGTGTGTGTGTGTGCGTGTGTGTGTGTGTGTGTGTGTGTGTGTGTGTGTGTGTGTGTGTAATCAGAGTCTTAGTCAATTAAAATCACAATGTGATCATCTGTGTTAGGATCAGATTGACCCTCACTTCTAACACCAAGGAAAGAATTTCACTGTAGACCTGATGAAGCAGATTATTTTCATTTTTGTGTCTTAGTTTATCAGAAGAATGTCTGATTGCTATTGAGTCATGAATATTGTTTGTTATTTTGTCAAATTTAACACACAAACCATTTTGAAGCCTCAAAGTCTGCAATATGGGAATAATTGAAAAGGGAAAATTTGCATTTAACATAGAGGCATCGAGTGCTGGATCAGCCATAACCTAATCATATTTTTGTGTCCCTCCAGACTCTCTGTCTTACAGAGGGAAACAGCTGAACTTCAAAAGGAGATCAAGAGACACAAATCACGTCAAGAGCAGGACATTTGGATACCTGGTACTGCTGATACTGATACCAAAGCTTTAGTTCTAGAATAAATGGTGTTTAGTGTTTGAAGTAGTAAAAACTCAACAATCAGGTTTGTCATCTCTCCAGCATCCTCTTATCTTTACCACAGGGAAAGAACAGGTACAGTTTATCACACACGCAGACTTTATCAAAGAAATAAATCCAGTGAGTGTTCAAAGTGGCTTGTGGTTGATTGCTATAGCAATGTAAATCAAAACATATGCTGTGGCTCGAATGACCTTTGACCTTGGCAAATGCCAATCATTAACATAACTCTTCTCTTCTTTCCCCAAATTAAACTTCTGTTTCTAACTCCCCTGGCAGCTTGTCCGCAGAATGACTTTGCCTAACAGAGATGTAACAGTCCCACCCAGAAAAGGCTGTAGAGGGGGTGTTGTGTTTTCTTTATCCTCTCTGTCAAAATTAGGGCCCGACCGATATGAGATTTTTGAGGCTGATACGATATCGATATTGGGTAGAAAAAAAAACTGATATTGACACATTGGCTGATAACTTTATAGACTCTTTTTTCGATCTGTAGCGATAGATAGATATACACATTAATTGCATTTATCCCTCAAATGCAGTTAAAACACTTGTGGAAAAGATAAACAGTATAATAAAGACAAGACAAGTCACTCTACTGAAAAGTAACTGCTCACCGCTTGACACTCTGGAGAGTGATAATGCTAGTTGTAATCCATATATAGCACACTCTGCTGGTGACAGCCAGAAAGAGAACTTCTTGTGTAACTCAACGATACTCAAATGAAATGCTATTATTATCTGCTGACCGATGAATCGGTTGGGCTCTAGTTAAAATGTTCATGTTTAGATCTGACGCATTTCAGGTCTGACAGTTGCTTAGTCGGAGGACTCAGGGTCTCTTGATCGACATCTGAAACATCTTGAAGCCCAGAAAGCCGCTCTACTGGACAGGAAGAGTAACTGTGTCCCTGTGGAGGTAAAAGCTGAGCTGGATGTCAAGCTGCAGGCCTCAGAACAGCACGGAGAGCAGCTGAGGACTGAAAACGACAAGCTGAAAATCCTGTGAGAGCTGAAACCCTAAATGTTACTTTAAACCTGCAGTGATGAAGATGTGAAAATATTGTTTTGAAACACCTTCACTTCATCAAATATAATTCTCCTCTTCAACAGAGCAGCAGACGAGTATTATTATTTCTCTATTAATCTCTCTCTCTCTCTCTCTCTGTGTCTGTCTTCAGATTCATGCGATTGAGATTTGTGTTTGAGCGTTTGTCCAGCTGGGGGCAGCAGGTTCCTCTGGAGGAACTTCTGAGTAGCACAGTGGAGAACTTCACACAGAGCAGCAGTAAGACTCAGCAGCTTTCAAATGACTTAGTAATTTAATTGAACAAAAAAAAGTCACGGTTTGAGGTCATCTAGTGTCTTCTGTTGAGACTGACAAATCCTAGAAACAAACATAGAAAAGACAGGACGTAGTGCTGAATGTCCCTGTCAGTTCTGATTGTCTCCATATTGTCTTGAAACACATGTACTGTTTCTGTTGAGACAGTCTTTACATAGACAGCGCAGTGTGCTGCTCTCTATATCCAGATCGTCAACAAGTGGTTCTCTTATATAGAATTGAAGTTGAAATCAAATAAAATGCAATATTAATAAAAACAGAGACCATGTTCACATATTTGCAGTTTGTTTAAACCCCTTTAATCTTGCATGTTTTTCCTGCAGTAACCGGCGATGACGACAGCAGCATAGAGGTCGAGCTGTTCGAGGATGAAGAGCCGCGTGGAGTCGATGAGTCCAAACACCTGACAGAATACCTGGACAGGTGCTGTGATTACAAACATCTTCACCCTCGTGTGATCTGTGCAGCCTCTGCGAATGATCTCTCTCTCTTCTCTCCGACAGGTTTGTTGAGCTCTTTGATTCAGCTCAGTACGAGGAAGCTGCTCTCCATGCTGCCAGGTCTCCTCGAGGAGTCCTGAGGAACCTTGACACCATGAATATGTTTAAAGGTGAATTTATTTTTTCAATCAAGTACTGCACTGGAGTGCAAACTGAAGTACTCTCACTGTACTTAGTTTTTATGGTATTAGTACTTTAAGGCGCAGTTTTTGTGTGTTTCGGTTTCATCTCTGTCTGCTACGGGTTTATTGCAGATATTTTAAGTCTAATATAACAACTGTGTTGAAATACCTTTAAGACTGATATTCTGGTCTTTCAGTCTCTTTCTAGTCATTAAAAACAATAGTTACACTACACAAACAAAAACAGGATGATGTGTCCTCTAGGGGGAAAATCAGGTTAATAAAGTAACTAACTTATCCACATTAAATCTAATTTCCCAACATTTAGATCCTCAGCTTGGTTCATAAGGTTCCTTTGATTCTGGAACTGAAAATAAACTGCAGCACATTAGCTAACCCTGTTGACCTGTATAGAAAACAGCAAACATGATGAGACAAGAACACTCTCACATTGTCGGCAAGTCATCATAATGTGAAGCCTTTTCTTTGGGTAAAAGGAAACATGGATTTCATTATAAAAATTAGAAAGCTAAAGATTTTCAGGTAAACTTGTTACATGTTACAATGAGTATTAGAAGCTGCGTACTGTTTTATCGGCCACTGCTGAATAAGAAAAAGAAGATCAACATGTTTGTGCAAAGCTAATGTCACTGTTTGCAAGAAGTGTTAGAAGTAACAGAGGTGAACACTTCGGCTGGCTTTTGAGGGTAATTGAATGAAGAATGTGGGGGCATAATGAAGCTGTTAGGAATATCAACGTTTCCTCAGACTTATAAGATTACAGAGAAAAACTTGATATAACTTATAGCTTACAATATATTTATTATTTAACCATTCACAGAAAAATGTAATTCCATGGCCTCCGTCATTTCTGAGAAGTTCAGCAAACATTTTGAGCTCTTTTCACATTCAAGCTTGTGAGAAAACAGGAGTGTGTTTGTATAGTATTCTGTCCTCAATGTGTGTGTCTGTACACAAATTGACAGATAGCTTACAGACTTCGCGAGAAATGAGAGGCTGGAGTAAATTCAAATGCTTTACTGTTGTCATCATACTCATGAAGCTTCTTTCATTGTAAAACTGAAAAATACAAAATAAAACAAGCACAAATGAAAGGATGCTATCTTAAACATTAGCATTTTTAGTTTGTAAATTATCTGTTTTTAAACTATACAAAATGCATCAAATATATCAAATAGTTTGTATGTATAAATATAAAGATCTGTTCTTGCGAATTAACTTACAAGGGATGCTTTCCAAGGCACGCAGGCAGGAAGGAAAGAAAAAGCTGGCTTGTGCTGCAGGCCGACCACATGGAAAATAAATGAAACCCCTCCTAACTAGAGTCTCATGACTGAGTCACATGACTTAGACTGACCAATCAGAAAATACAGTGAAAAATAAAGGGCAACAATTAAATTATCTTAAATGACCAGCAGGGGGAAACAGAATTAAAATGAATTTAAACATTCCTGCTATACATGACACTCCCCGTCTGGTATTGACAAAATACCACTATATACAATAACAATATACTGAACAATAGGAGAACAGAATTCAATCGTTTTCTTCAGCATTCTTGAGGAGGACTGTCTCAGAGACAGGCCTCAGGTAGGTCTTTGCTGTTCCAGATCTTGTGACCCTGAGTTCAATCTTCCTGACTTTTCCATCTTGATCAGCGAATGTCCTTGTAACCAGTGTTGGAGCATGGAGTTGAGTATGCGTCTGGAGATGCCAATCATTCTCTCCCAGGCTCCTCCCAGGTGGGACGAATGAGGTGGGTTGAATATCCAGGAACATCCTTCTTCACCCAAGTACTTCCTGACATTTGGCTCTTCAGGATCAGTGATGAGCATATGCAGCTCCTTGCACCTGTGAAGTTAGTCCTGCAGTCTGAACGGATTTGCTTAGCTGGTCCACGTAGAGCAAAAAATTGCCGCAAGGCGTTGATAAAACTTGATGTGTCCATTGACTGGATTAGTTCTATGTGCACAGCATGTATGCTCATGCAGGTGAACAATACAGCCCATCTTTTGCTGTTAGCCTGACCTCCACGGGTTCTTCATGTAGTGACGGCCCAAGGGCCGAACACGTCAAGACCCACATATGTGAAGGGTGGCTCTGTGCTCAAGCGATCAGAGGGTAGGTCTGCCATCTTCTGTTCAGAAGCTCTTCCTCGAAGTTTTCTGCATACAACACATTTGTGGAGGACGCTGTTTACACATCTCTTGGCCCCAATAATCCAAAACCCAGCCGAGCGCAGGGACCCTTCTATGAAGATGCGACCTTGGTAATGTACCATTTCATAGTAATGCCTCACGAGCAGCACTGCAACGTGGCTGCGGCCTGGGATGATGAGTGGGAACTTCTCTCTTGTGTCTAGATCCATGTTGTTGAGCCTACCTCCAATTCTTAGAAGTCCCTGGTCATCCACTTGAGGATTCAGTTTCCTCAGCGGACTGTCCTTTGGGATGCTTTTGTTGCCTTCCAAGCAGGCAAACTCTTTGTTGCATGTTTCCTTTTGCACACAGAAGATGATGAGAGCCTCAGCTTTTAGAAATTCTTGAACCGTGTGAGGTTTCTTGCACTGATGCCAGCCTCTGCATGTTTCTTGTTTGGCTTTGGCTGCACCTCTTTTTGTCTGTATGATGTGTGTCAGTATTGTAATAGCTCGCAAAAGGGATTTCCAGGAAGAGAATCGCTCAAACCGATGTGATCCTAGATCAGATGGATGAGCTGAGAGTGCAGTGGCATGAGAACCCACCTCAGTGTCAAAGTCTGAGTCAATGAGTTCATAAGATTCCTCTTCCACAGAAGACACTCCCTCTGGTTGGGATAGAAAGGGGGGTCCTGTGAGCCATGATGTGCTGGTTAACTCAGCTGCAGGTACAGATTGAGTAGCATGATCTGCCGGGTTCTGAGTGGTGCAGACATAGTGCCACTGCTCAGGTTTGGCAAACTTCCTGATCCTTTGTATTCTGTTGCACACATATACATAGAACCGTCTTGTCTGATTGTATATGTATCCTAAGACGACCTTACTGTCAGTGTAGAACTGGATTGTGTCCACACTGATGTCCAGCTAGCCTGCAACCAGTTCTGCCATTTCCACAGCCAATACTGCTGCGCTCAGCTCCAGTCTTGGGATAGTATGTGCAGATGAGGGTGCTAGTTTCGCCTTTCCAAGAACAAATCCCACATGACACTCTCCATTGCTTCTGATGACTTTGAGGTAAGCTACAGCAGCAATAGCCTTAACTGAGGCATCTGAGAAGACGTGGAGCTCTTTCCTCTGAGCAGTAGAAAGGGTTGAAGGGGTGTAAGCTCTTGGTATTTTAAGCTCACTCAGATCTTGCAGGGAGTGTTTCCACATCCTCCACTCTGTCTGCTTTTCATCAGGAAGAGGGCTATCCCAGTCGAGAACCTCATTGCTGATGAGTTCCCGCAACAAGATCTTTCCCTGAATGGTGATTGGCGCGACTAGGGTCCAATAGGGTCAAAAAGGCTGTTCACCGTAGCTAAAACTCCTCTACGAGTGAAGGGTTTTTCTGCAGCTGTAACTGTGAAGGTGAAGACATCATTTTTGAGATCCCAGCAGAGCCCTAAGCTGTGTTGGATGAAAGCTGAATTGTCATCAAAGTCCGAGTTCTGCAGATCTTTTGCATGATCATCTGGTAAGAAGGCATCTAGGACTTGAGCGTGGTTAGATGCTATCTTGTGGAGTCGCAAGTTGGAGTCAGCAAGCATCTCCTGTGCTCTTTTCAGTACATCAATGGCCTCAGTTGCTGATGGGAATGACTTAAGGCCATCATTAACATAAAAGTCACGCTCCACAAAATGTTTAGCATCCATGCCGTATTCACTTGCTCCCTGCTGTGCTGCACGACGAAGACCATAGATGGCTACAGCAGGTGACGGACTGTTGCCGAATACATGGACTTTCATGTGGTACTCCACAATCTCTTTGTCTGGTTCGTTGTTTTTGAACCAAAGAAACCGCAGATAGTCCCTGTTATCTTCTCTGACAGTAAAACTGTGAAACATCTGTTCAATGTCTGCTATCACAGCCACTGGTTCTCTTCTGAAACGCAGCAAGACTCCTAGTAGTCTGTTATTCAGATCTGGGCCCGTTAGTAAGACATCATTCAAAGATATGCCTTGATACTGAGCACTGGAGTCAAAGACAACTCTTATCTTGTTTGGCTTTTGAGGGTGGTAAACACCGAACATTGGCAAGTACCACCGCTCTTCTCCCTCAGGTAGGGGTGGAGCTAACTCAGCCTGGTCGTTGTCAAAGATCTTTTGCATGAAATCTACAAATTGAATCTTCATCTCTGGTTTTCTTTCGAGGGTTCGGCGAAGGGAGTTAAGCCGGTTGAACGCCTGTTCTCGATTGTTTGGGAGCCGTAGCCAAGGAGACCTAAATGGAAGAGGCGCTACCCAGCTGTTTGTATCGTCCATGAACATCTCTCTGTCCATAAGCTCCAAGAAAAGCCTGTCCTCAATGGAGAGACCAACCTTATCATCATCCTTGGTTGACTCGAAAATTGTGCCGCCAAGGTCACACTCATTAAGGACTGGAGGGTGTGTTGGTCTGAGAGGAGAAGTGTTATGCTGTGTTTTGGTACTTAACCTCTCCCTGATTTGGAGATGGTTGGGTCATGGAGTGAGGAGTGAAGGACGTCCATTTTCAAGGACGTTGGTCCTGTAAGAAGTTACAGCCCCTGGCTTGTGGGCTGAGCCCAAACAGACATCGCCGATAACAACCCAGCCAAGGTCTAGTCTCTGAGCATAGGGGGTGCTATGCGGACCATTGTGTTGCTCTCTGACTTTGTGAACATGGAGGACGTCACGTCCCAGAAGGAGGAGTATCTGGGCCTCTGGATCAAGGTGTGGGATCCTGTGGGCAATGGACTTCATGTGAGCGTGGTTCAGAGCAGCTGCTGGAGTTGGAATCTCAGTCCTATCATCAGGCATGTGATTACATTCTATGAGGGTTGGGAGCATCACAGTTGTTGTCCCATCCAACGACTGCTACAAACCCTGTGGCTCTTCTTCCGGATGTTTCAGTTACACCTGCACATGTGCGGAGAGTATATGGAGAGTCTGAACCTTTGATTTGGAAAAGGATAGGATCATACTTTATTGATCCCCAGAGGGGAAATTCGGGAAAAGGTGAAAGAATTCAGACTGAGCCAATGACCTGTTGCTTTGCTCATCCAAGACAACATAAACCTTTGTGATGTTGTGTGGGCTTGCCTTAGGATAGATCTTCACCAGGCAGATCTTCGAACAGGACCTCAGAACATTACTTTCGCCACAGACTTCTGTGCACTTCGAAGTGACTGCTAGCTGACGTGGTTCTCCTTCGTTCTCCCCACCATGCTCTGTTGAGGGGTTTGTTTGGCTCCATGGAGGCGGTCCAGGATGTAGAGCTGCAATGTGACTCTCACTCTCACATTCCCTGCACTTTATGGACGCCTTACAGATCTTTTGCATGTAGAAGAAGAGCAACACCTGAAGCAAATACCATTGTCTTTGAGATAAGCCCTGCGCTCTTCGATTGGCTTACTCTGAAACCCTCTACACTTCTTGAGAGGATGGGGTTTCTGGTGGATAGGACATTGTCTGTCGATGTCAACCAGTTTGTTGCTTGAACTGTCGGAATGGGAGGCTAAGTGGTGAGTCATCAATTCTGTCTTGTGAGTAGAGACTTGACCTTTGAGATATCCAAATCTACTTTCCACTCGTCCAGGCTTTGGAGGGCCAGTGGAAAACCTGTAGGAGCCTTTTGATGACGTTTCAGGGGCTGCTGAGATTGCAAAGCTGGGGTCATTTCTTCTGCGTGCTTCATTACATATGAAGTTTGGGAAAAATGTGAAGGGACGAAAAGAGACACCATACTGCTCCTCATACTGAGAGCCTTGACCTAACCACTTTTCCTGCAGACTGTGTGGCAACTTCTCAACAATAGGGTTGACACCCCTTGCAGTGTCAAGGTATGACAGCCCTGGTAAATAACCCTCTTAGCAGGTCTCCCAATTCCCTGAGCTTTAAAGAGTCTTTCTGATTGATTTTTGGAAAGTTCTTAATTCTCTCAAAGAGAGAACCGTAGCATTCCTCGAGCCGTTCCCAAGCCATTCTAAGGCCCACTTCTGGGCTGGCAACATGCACAGAACGAAGACTGGTTTCCCAACCACTTGGTTAAGAGGTCTAGTTCCTCACTGGCAGTTAAGTTGAGTCCTCCAGTGACACTGATGAAGGAGGATTTCCATGCCCAATAACTTTCTGGGCGATCGCTAAACTTGATTAGGCCAAAATTAATAAGCTCTCGACGTACTAAGTACCTTGCTATATCACTCATACCATTTTTGTCATTGGGTTGTTGCTGCAGTGAAGCTCTGCTGTGAGTGTGAGACTGAGCTGAGGTAAATTGAGCAGTTGGGTGGTGATGAGCTGCAGGTGGTGGCCATTCAGGTAGCTGTGTCTTATAGTTGCTGTTTACCCTCGTGGTCTGACGTTGACCTCTCAGGCTGCTGTGATGCACGAACATCACCCCTTGGTATGCGATGAGAAGCTTGGTTTTCAGGTTTAATGGGAAGCTCCAGTAAACTTGTTGTGACCTCAGGTTTGATGGGTGGTAATAGAGATGGTGAATATGGTTGGAGTAGTGGGAGGTCTACATCCGTGAGATGTAGACCTCGCTGCGAGTGACGTTCAACGTGCTGCGAGTGACGTGCTGCGAGTGACGTGCTGCGAGTGACGTTCAACGTAGTCTTGGGTGCGCTGAATTGCAACACGAATGGTATCACGTTGACTCCTACTGCCTTCTCTACTATCATCCTCTGTTTCTGCTGCTGCTGCTTCGTAAACTTCTGCTTCTGCTATTGCTACTGCAATTTCCTTTTCGTGCTCCAACACCGCTAACTCGGCTGCTAAGCATGCTTCTTTTATCTTCAAATCAGCTTCTCGTTGCACAAAAGCTCCACGTGCACATGCTGCTTCTAATTTTGCGCGAGCATTGGCTGCTGCCCTGCTAACGGATGAAGATTGGGATGAGGATGAAGAGGTAGAGTGTTGTGATCTTGCGGCACATGCAGGAACTTGTTCTGTGTTCTTATTCTGTTCTTTGCCACCAGCATCATTAAAGGATGCTCCTTGCAATCCATCTTCACCAGTATGTGATATCTTGATTTCTTGATTTTGGAGTTCTAAAAGAAGAGGTAAGTAGATGCCTGCGTGTTTGGGGAAGCTGCCTTTTCAAGGATATTTTTCCCTGATGCTGTAGAGCCCGCCGTGAAGTCCCTTTTTTTACTATTCTGTCCTCAATGTGTGTGTCTGTACACAAATTGACAGATAGCTTACAGACTTCGCGAGAAATGAGAGGCTGGAGTAAATTCAAATGCTTTACTGTTGTCATCATACTCATGAAGCTTCTTTCATTGTAAAACTGAAAAATACAAAATAAAACAAGCACAAATTAAAGGATGCTATCTTAAACATTAGCATTTTTAGTTTGTAAATTATCTGTCTTTAAACTATACAAAATGCATCAAATATATCAAATAGTTTGTATGTATAAATATAAAGATCTGTTCTTGCGAATTAACTTACAAGGGATGCTTTCCAAGGCACGCAGGCAGGAAGGAAAGAAAAAGCTGGCTTGTGCTGCAGGCCGACCACATGGAAAATAAATGAAGCCCCTCCTAACTAGAGTCTCATAACTGAGTCACATGACTTAGAATGACCAATCAGAAAATACAGTGAAAAATAAAGCGCAACAATTAAATTATCTCAAATGACCAGCAGGGGGAAACAGAATTAAAATGAATTTAAACATTCCTGCTATACATGACATATAGATTTATTTAAAGGGGAAAAAAAGTATCCGATGTTTTGAACATTTAAAGGTCCTGTGAGGATCTTTTACTGGTTGTAAGACTGAAAATAAAACAGATACAGCTTTGAAACTACAAGAGCAAACAAGACCTTTATCAAATTTGTACGTAATATTTCCACCCTTATCACCCTATCAGGTGATGTTGTTCATATCAACCTGCCAAAAAAGCTTGTTTTTTCATTTTCTTTTTACAATTTCCACAGCAAACATTGATGACTACTGATACTTTTGACTTTGAAAAGAAGCAGGATGAAGATTTTTACGTCAGAAACCTTTTCATGAGAGAAACCAAAAGTCCCTCACCAGAGCTTTAACTGTATAGTCCTCGAATATAAGACAACCCTCTGTGACCTACTGTCATATGTTGTCAGACATTCAATTTGTCACTGATGTCTGTAGAAAATCAAACAGAACTGACAGGTTTGCTTTTGATTATCAGTTCATGTTTGTCATTGAGTCTTGCTGTCCACTTGTCTCTATCTCTCTCAGGTGTGAGTGGCCCCCCAAGGTCCGTCCCCCCTCTCCTGCTTTACTTCCAGGCCCTCCTGTTGACCCTCCCGTCTGGTGACAAGCTGTCGGCTCCTCTCGCCAAAGCGTTGGTCCTCTGTGCTCTGCAGCACGGCGACACACAGCTCGTCAACCACACTGTTACACACAACAAGTAAATAAACAAAAAACAAACAGTTTGATCTTCTTTACTGCTGCTCATGTCTTCACACTCTTTGTCCTCGCAGACTGACCTGCTCTGAGGATCTGGGCGACATCTTGTCTGAGCATGCCCAGAAGAACCCCCGTGTGGCTGACTTGTGTCTGGCTTTGGCCACCGACGCATACAAGGCCTGCAGGCTGAACAAGAAGACAGCACTGAGCATGTGCAAAAGAGGCCTGGTCCACAGTGCTGCTGAGTTCATGAACAACTGCAAGGATCTAACAACTGGTGTGTGTGTGTGTGTGTGTGTGGACTTAATCTGATTGGGGTCATTTCCCCCAAAAGATTACATTGCAGCTTCTTCACTGTGTTTTGTTTAGTTATTTAGAAAATAGATTAAGTGAACTTTTTGTCCAAAAAAATGGTGAACATTTCCTTTAAAATCTGAAAATGAATCACTCTCTTTCTCTTCCACAGAGGACTGTCTGTGGGTTCTGTATCAATCACCCAGCGTTTCCCTCCTCCAGCTGTTGATAGAGTCTCAGCAGGGCCAGGCAGCCATCTTGTCAGTGGGTGTGGTCCTTTCCACTCTGCTGGCAGACCCCCAGCAGCAGGAGCTTGCTCTGCAGCTTCTCGACAGCTTCGTCAGCAGAGGACAAGGTAAACAGAAGCTGTCAGCAGGAACCAAGCCAGCAGGAATGAGAATTAAAAATGCAGTGATTAAGATGTTTGTTTTGCAGCTTTATACACCACAGGGCAGGAAGTGTGGGTTGGGAATCATATCATTCTTAATAAAAACAAGCAAGCAAGAAAAAAAGCAAACCACACTGACATTACTCCTGATCTGAGGTGACCACTGAACCCCCTGACCTTTCTGTGTCTTTGCTTTCTTTCAGGGGTTTTAGAGGAGGTGATCCTGGAGGACAGCAAGTCCTTATTGGATGATTGGACCGACGTGGCTTCTACATGCTCTGAGCTGAACCGGGCTGACCTGAGCCAGGTCATCCTGTCCATCCTGCTGGACCAGAGCGGGACCAGAGTCCTGTCCCCAGACCTGGAGGGAGCCGGGCTTGTGGAGCATGTCTTCCTTTGAAAGAGTACAGCAGAAAGAGTCTTCTGCTTTCAGTTCCACCTCTCATGAAAGTAAAAAAATACGAGAACACACAAGTTTGTTTTTGTGTCTTAGGTTTATTAATTTAAGATTAAACTGTAATTCAGGGTTTTGATCAGTTCCTCTCTGTAATATCAGGGCATTCAGTCAGGTCATAGAGGTAGAACAACAAATTTGCTGTTAATCAGTTTATTTTCTTCTTTACAATTAAAACTTTTGTTCTTTGCCATTTTTTTCATCCTGATCCCAGACATGCCCAGACATGCCCACTCGTGTGATCCCACTGGTATCAAGCTGACTTTACACCTTTGACCTTAGGCTGATGTCATTAGAATGACTCAAGAAAAAATCAGATACAGTGACGTCTGAAGGCCAGCAGGGGGCGAAAAGATTTATAAACTGAATCTGAGAATAATGTGGATCTCAGACACTGTTCTTTAAACAGAGGTCAAATTGTTCTTTATGAATTTAGAAAATGAGAAACAGTAATTTCAACAACCACAACAATATGCAAGATTCCTTCCAAAACAAATAGAAGTTTTAAATGATTTAAATTGGCATATTTTATCCTAAATACAAAATATATATATATATTTTAAAATAAGTTGCACATGACTGCAACAATGTTATCTGTTGCTCTTTACAAATGAAAATGGCACAGTGCTACAATCTAGAGGTTACTTTGTGTTCTGCCTTTAGCCTTTCTTTCAATAAATCACAAAAGTCATGTCTTTGTTTTTAGGTTGTTGTGGTCTTTTGTGTTTTTCATATTCTATGTGTTTGGATAGGCCTTCTGGTGTGCAGCCACTACATTTCAGTTTTAACCACATCCAGAGACAGTGGGGGTCCCTGGGCTCTGACCCGATAACTTTGTGAACCCTTGACATAAGTGATGGTTACAGGTTGATTAATCAATTATTCTAAACTGTTGATTTGAGAAACATTATTATGAAAAAGGCCATGCGTTATAATAAGTAATTCTATATAGTATATTACAGTGCGGGGTGCCGGTAGCCTAGTGGTTAATAACAGCACAGAGGCAATAATCTTCCAAGCGGGCGGCGCAGGTTGGAATCCAACATGTTGCTCCTTTCCCGCATGTCTTTCCCCACCCTCTCTCTCCTTGATTTCTGACTCTATCCACTTTCTCTGAAATAAAGGTTATTATATTATGAAGCCAGTTTTGATGCTTAAGAACAGAAGTGAATTGTAGAGCACTGTGATGATAGTGAGCAAAGTTAAACAATCTCTGTATTGTGGAACTGGCCTGCTCACTATCGGGTAGACATCAGAGAGTGAAAATTGGATTAATTGTTCCTGGAAAATTATAACCTGCACTCATGCTAACACTGTGTAGTCTAAAATGTAACACTGGTGGTGAAGGAAGGACTCAGAAGAGCACAAGAGCAATGTGAATCATTACCAGTAGAAGTTCTACTTTTACTCTTAGCCATCAGCAAATAACATTTTCATGTAGTACAGAACTGATCTCAGCATAATTAAGTTAAAGAATCACAGTAGTTTAGTCATTGAGTGAAACATTGAGTCATTTGAACAATGACATCCTTTATTTGATTGTAACCTTATTTTTAATAAAAGGCCATAAAATCAATATTTTTTTCGTGCTGTTCCGTTAATCTAAAGTAAATCTAACCCTAGTTTCGCTATAATTACAACCAAAACTCCCACAGGCATTAGGAGGTTCTCTGATATGTCCTCACAAGTCTCACAAACCTGTGACACTCTCAGCAGCTCAAACAGAGGAGTCTTTGTGTGGCTGCGGGCCTTATTCTGATCCTCATCATAGTGAACAAACTGACTCCCACTCATCCATACACAGCACGCTGACAGTGGAGGCCCATTGTTACGGGCATACGGGTAAACAAAGGTTTATACATATAGCACATATCAATCAGTTACATTCAGCTTTACAGTCAAATGAAAATAAATGAAGAAAGTTAATTCTCACAAGGACACACATTTTTTTTATTGACCTGCCATTTAAGATATAAGTAAAATGTTTACTTACATTATATTGAATTTGTTTTCGCCAACATAAGCCCTATTCAGACTGCCACTTCAAGGCAAAGTATTTACCCACTGTGGCGTTTAACCTTCAATATAAATGTTGCAGAGGCGTAATGGAGGCAAAGAAGTGATCACCCCTCTGTGCTGCAACAGTAACAAGGGCGTAACAGTAGCGAGGCGGGATCAACGGAGCAAGCAGGGTAGAACAGTGCTGTCTGACTGCATCTCTGAGTGTGTGTGTAAGTGGAACTACCGCTGAGCCGTGCTCTTGTGCTTTTGCAACGCCGTAAATAAAGCAAAGGGAATTCACAGACTAGGACTCCAATTTTACACTGTTGCCGAAGTCCATATAAATGTGTCCAACTTCAGCTTTATTATCAACCTGAATGAAATGAGATCTGCAGCAGGCATGAAGACAAAACAGTTGAACAAAGGACAACATCAGAGGTACAGACATACAGAAAATCCACAGCTCAAGTGAAAACCAAAGGTACCTAATCACACTGAGCCAGAGGCTGAAACAGCTCAGACACAGCACAGAAAAGGTGATACCACGGCAGAGCAAACAATCCAGTCAAAGACATTGTATATTTTAGTAACATTCAACCAAATATGCAATCTTTCCCTAACCCTAAATGAATAATTTGGCCAAAACTTAAAGGAGCAATGTGAAGGATATCTACTGATTTAAGTAATAAAGTGACATTTATATATTATCACAAACGTAATGAAACGTGAGGACAGCCAGTATGTCCACCTTCTTAGTTTAGATTCCGGTCTTGAATTGTCTGTATTTGTTCGGACTAAGGCACCTCCACACCGCCGTTTTGGACCCCTTGGTTTGCGTGACAACCGGCAAATCAAAAGACTCTGCATTTTCCTAATAAGCTCCACAACCAGGAGCATGGTGAAAATATTGGAGATGCTTTTGAAATATCATGAGAGGATAGAAGGCAGGAACGTTTCATGACTGTTGCAAAGCTGGTTAAACACTGAAGCTTCAGTGGGGGGGGGGGGGGGGGGGGGGGAGACAGCTCTCTCCAATGATTTGAATTTAGACTGCAATACCCATTTTAAACGCTACATGTCAGATCTCTGATGAAGCCTATGTCCTCTAATCAATTATCCAAGTTACCATCTGATAGTTAAGTGATGAACAAAATTTAGTTTTTCACTGACACTGTGAAAATTATTAAGGAATACATCAAAATGAAATCAGAATAAAAAAGTTGAATAATGTACAATAAATCATTCAGAAGAGAGAGGGTTAGTTTGTAGTTCAGCAAGGTTCAAAAAGAGTTCCTATCTGAGTAGCATTTTTTCTCACAGCATGAAGACGCCTCTGGATATCACCGAAATCCTAGTGCTTTATTTGCACTGTTCAGATGTCGTATTCCATCAGTGTTCCCAGTGTGCTTCTTTGAACTTTACCTTTCAATGCTTCTTTTACCTTCAGACTTCTGGATCACTTCTACATGTCACGTATAACCTAAACCTCCATGCAGGGAGATGATATCACTTTAAAATAAAAAACTCAAAATGAAATGTTTTTCTGTGGTTGTTACTTAGAGAGGTAGAGAAAAGGAGGAGTGTGAGGGAGGAAGATGAGGAAAAAAATACAGGAAGAAGATTGTTGGAAAGAAAAAAAGGCCGATGGAGAAAACTTGGTTACAAGGAGCAGAAAGAAGGGAGATTCAGTGCTGACTCACAACAGCTTGGCTGCGTCACAGCATATTGACCTTCTGCAGTGTGTGTGTGTGTGTGTGTGTGTGTGTGTGTGTGTGTGTGTGTGTGTGTGTATGCTTGCCCAGCATGACACAGCTTCTCCGACTTTCTCTCACCCTTTTTCAACCCTCACCTCTCCTCCCAGGATATTTAAAAAAAACTTTGTTTCTCTACTAATCCCTTAAACCCAAGGACCATCTTGGCCATGTACAGGTTTTTTTAAGATGCCAGGATCTGAACAGTAACTTTCTTTCTTCTTCTTGCAGATATACATGGAAGACAAGCAGAGGCGATACCAAGAGAAACACACAACAAAACAGGTACCAGGAACTATCTTCATTTTTTGAGCTGGTGTAAATTATTATTAAGATATGTGTAGTTTATGTAGGTAAATCATTTGGGATACTGTGGACAGTCTAGCACACTCTCCCTAAAACCATCTTCATTACGGTGCTGTTGCAGAATTGCACTATGAACAGGGTCTTCTAAAAGATGTCAAGACTTTTATGATATAAACATTTACAGAGTAGGCTACAGTCAGGTATTAAGACAATACTGAGAACATAAACACACGCAGCGCCGCCCCTCCCTACACGCAGAACACGCGCTGTGCGTAGGGCCCCACGATCCATGGGGGGAGGGGACGCATTCTCTGCAAATGCGCAAAGGATGCGCGTCGCTGCCGTGAGGCGCGCGTAGAGCACCAAGTCAAGCCCGAGGCAGGAGAGAATAAATAAGAGACGAGTAATCTGACACCGCACGCTTTGCCGTAATGATTGACAGCACGCAGCATCTGACCAATCAGCGGTCAGATGCGCCGACAGGCAGTTTGACGCAGGTGGAGAGATGGCCTCTAAACGGCAGTGTGAATCGGGAGCAAGCAAAAGAAAGAAAAAGTCAAAACAAGAGGAGGCTCGTGCTTCACTTGAAGGTGGGTATGTTGTTGAAATAAAAAAGAAAAACTTTGTAGCACAAACACTTCAGCTGCTATTCTGCTAATCATGAGACAGAAGAAAGGATCATTCTGTCTAGATGTGGACTGGAGATTAAATGTTCCAGCGGCCCTGATGATCATTTATTGAATGTCTTGTTAACTGCATATACATTCACCTCTGTTGAAAAAGGAGTGGTTAATTGACCAGTTGGTGGTCGTGTGTTGGCTCAGGTTTATAGCCTATCATTCATGCTATCAATGGAAGTTTTGGGCTATATTTATGGAGGTAAAATGTCGTCTTCTCTTGGTGAATTTAATTCATAACAGACATATAAGATTAGATAAAATAAGATAAATTAAGATAATCCTTTATTTAACCCACAATGGAGAAATGTAAAGCGTTGCAGCAGCAAACAGCAGTGTAGGAAAATACCTAAGTACAAAATGTAAAAATAAGTATATAAAAATATTTAAATATAGAAAATCATCAAATCAAATCATGATGAATATTATTATTAGTTGTAGTCGTATTTGCATTAATTGCATTTTAATGTTTGTGAGGCTAGTATTTACATTAATTTCATTGTGTAATTTACCATTAAGACCAAAACAAATCTTAATAATCTGCTTGTATGATGAATTTCTTGTCATAACAGGGTCAATGCTGAAGTTTGTTACTAAGGGTGACAAGGGCCATCAAGCACCATGTCAACTGAAGCAGCCTCACCCAGCACGTCACCAGGGCCATCAAGCAACATGTCAACAGGTACAAATGCAGCAGCACCCAGCATATCATCAGGGCCATCAAGAAACATCTCTTCAGCTACAGATGCTACTATCACTACTCCAAGTGCACAACCAGTTGATCCTGCTCTGTGGCCAGCACACCTATCAGACGTCGATCGGTTTGAATTTGTGCGCCGAGGGCCTTTTAAGGCACAGCAGCTGTCATATGATGAGCTCATTGATTACTTTGCATCCAGAAAATGCAGACGTGTGCATCTGTAAAAGGCTTCTTCCATTGTTGATAGAGGCTGTTCATTTGATTTGTTCCTACTAATAAAGGTTGGAAACCTAAATGGCATTTCGTGATACAGTCATTTTGTAATGGGGGGGGGCTCAAAATAAAATTCTGCTTAGGGCCCCAGTTTG